CCCCCCCCAACTTAGCACACTACATCATATGGCCCTTATCGCTCTCAACAATCTCGACACACATGGTAGCATCTCTTCCCTCAAGAGAATCCAACTAGCCACACCAGTTCTTCGTCATGTCATTGACATCAATAGCATGTCCCCAACCTACCGGTTCTTCTTGTCTACAGTACTTCCTAGTGCTATTGACCTCAAGGTTCCTGGATTCTCTGGCCGTTTCTCCCCCCTCCCTTAATCACACACACCATATATGGTCTTAATCGCTCCCCACTGCTCCCATTGGTCCGTTCTCCCTAACCACCCCCCCTGCCTACTTCGTATATAAGCAGCACCTTTCACATCCTATCACCACAGCTACTGCTCTCCGCATTCCAAGCCATTCTACTGCTCTGAAGATGGAGGCGCTACGTTCCTCCGAAACGTCGGCCAAAACGAAGAATACACGGTGCCTAAACCCAGAAGACGACTTTCTTCATTGTCATCGCCGTGAAAACCTCAAAACTTAAATAGATAGATGTGTTTAAAAGCAGTACAGTGAAATCCCCATTTAAGGTTTCTTTGGAGAACAATTGAGTTGAACACGTAAACTCAGAAAAATGTTAAATTGAGGACATTTTGCATTGGGATTATTCCCTTGGTATCACTGAAATTGAATGTTAAATTAGGGAGAACCTTAAAACTAGAAACATTAAGTGGCAGATCTACTGTATAATACTGGATTTTCTTTTTTTCTTTGTCTTTGTAATAATTTCATGTTTCTGTATGCAAATGAATTGAAAGGTCAATAGTGCTTCCTTCTTTCCTCTCCACCCCCTCTCTCTGTCTTCAGTTTTTCCTTCCACCCTACCTTCCTTTTATACTCAATATTATCGCCATGTCTCCTTCAATACTGCGCACTGATCTGTCTAAAATGAATGACAAAAAATCGGTGTGTGTGGTTTATTTGTGATAAGGTTGGCAGCACTGTTCATTCTAAGTGCTGTCATCATGTTCAAAATTTACTCTTTCTTTTGCATACTGTGCATATCACTAGTTTTCATTTCATGCATCGTGTTGTGTTATAATATACAATTTCTTTATTAAAACCATCACAGCACAACTAAATTGAGGTCAGTGCCAAGTTTGGCTCTGCTACATGTTACGGCTACTAAAAGTCATCATCAAGTAAATACATGGCCAGCATACACATATATACACCACTGAACTGCAGTACTAGTAAAATTGGATACAATAATATTAATTATATTAAAATACTTGGCATAAATGTACAATAAACTAGATTATATAAAACGAAAGTTATAGTATAAAACAAGAATAAAATTTTTCAAGTGTTGCTTTACATCATCGAGTCAGTCGTTGGTTTTTGTGATTTTGTTGTGTTCCCACGGACAAATTGGAGTATTCTATATTTTGTATATATGTAATAAACTGCTTTGGAGGCTCGTGATGTAGATGTAGTAATATTAATGTTAATTATTTAATCGGTGCCTCATCTTACAAAGTATTGTTCATTCTGTGGGGGACGTAAACAACAACCGATGGCTTTTAGTAGCCGAAACATGTAGCAGAGCCAAACTTGGCGTTGACCTCAATTTAGTTGTGTTGTGACACTTTTAATAAAGAAATTGCATATCACTAGTGTTTGAGTAGGTATGAATTTGTGAGGTCCTATGCACATATTTTGATAAACATGAGTACTAAAGGCATGTATTTACAATCTTAGTTAAGAAAAGTTAAAACAATTCAAGAGGCAGAAAAAATCACGCTGCCTCTAGAAAATAAAATACAGCATCAGTGAAAGTTATGTAAGGACCTCCAGAAATTAAAAAGGATTCATTCTGTGCAGTAGTGGTAGTCATCTCTGTTTGGCCACGAACTGAAATACCCTGAAACAGATAAAGAGCTGCGCAGGTACGTAAGTGAGAAGCCGCACTTTGGGTATGCAGTGTCAACCAAATTGTGCCAGTTAGCACTGACAAAAGAACATCACATCCAAGGTCTCAAGGCAAACCTGCGAATGACGGTGAAGTTTTTTTTTACAAGAAACAGGTTGTGTATTAGAGAAATAAAAGTCTCTTAGAGATTGTGCATCATATCCTGATAAGTAACAATGCTGTCAGTATCTTAGACTGTATAGCATAGGATAATAGGATGATTTTAATGAATAATGGATTTAAAGAAATGAAGTAAACTCTCATAACCTAAGTTGAGGCACTGCCCCAGAATTTTCCTTGAGGGATTGAAAAAACAATCTGTTGTTAAGGTCACTGTGTTATGGCTGAGTTTTGAAATAGTCACTTCCCAAATGCGACTGAAGATTTGCAATTTAATACACCATTATGTCATATAGTTACAAATACATACAAGGGTAATCCAGAAAGTAAGTTCCGATGAGCTATTGAAAAAAAAAAAGGTTTATTACCAAACCATTTATATTGCCATTTGATACACATACCGTACACTACTTTTTGACATAGTTTCCACTATTGCCAAGGCACTTGTTGTAGCGGGGCATCAGTTTTTGTATCCCTGCATCATAGAGTGGCGCCGCCTGCAATGCAAACCACTTGTTAGCAGCTTCTTTGACCTTGTTGTGGGACCACCACCACCAAGGAAAGTTTTCAGATGCAGGAACACATGAAAATCACTAGACACTAAGTCTGGGCTGTGGGAGGGATGCTCGAATGTTGCAGTGAGATCTTGTGTTGCAGCAGCAGTGTGTGAGGCTTGCATTGTCATGAAGGATCACAACATCCAAACTAAGCATGCCATGTCTCTCGTTCTGGATCACACCACACAGTTTCTTAAATGTGTCGCAGTAGACACCTGTGTTGAGCCTTGAGGCAAGAATTCCACAAGCAGAATGCTTTTTCTGTCCCAAAACACTGTACATATGATTTTGCAAGTTGAAATGGTCTATTTGAATTTTTTCATTACTGGCAATGATGTGTCTCCACTCCATGGACTGCTGCTTCAATTCAGGAGTTACGCGCAACACCCATGCCTCATCCCCTGTGACAGTGCGGCTCAAGAAGTCATCACCTTGCTCATTGTATCATGTCAGAAAGGTCAATGCACTTGCCTGCCATTTCATTTTGTGTTCTTCAGTAAGCATCTTTGGCACCAAGTGTGAACACAGTTTCTGAAAACAAAGCGAGAAACACAGTTTCTGAAAAGAAAATTTATCACATACAGTTTTGTGAAGAAGTGACCATGAAATTTGTGGAAAATGCAGGGAAAGTGATGAAATGGTGAATCAACTGTTCTCTTGAACTTTCTCTTCCACTGCACGCACCAAATCTTCATCAGCCACAGATAGTCAGCCACTCCGCAGATCATCATGCACATTTTTGCATCCTTCATTAAAGTGTCTCACGCATCTCCATACCATTTAATCACTCATGGTATGTTCTCCATACAACTCATAAAGTTGATAAATATCAGCCAGTTTCATGTTTCTTGCATTTAAGAAACGGGTTACAGACTGCATTTCACCTGTGGCAGGCTTCTCAGTTTTCTTAAACATTGTAAACATACAGGACAATGCATAAACACTGTTCAGTTGTCTGCAAATAGTGTCCATGCCTTCCCAAAGGACCAACAACTGTGCACACATGCACACCATCATGACCGCAGTGCTGTAGCAGCAGTATTTGCAAACGGAACTTATTTTGTGGATATGCATCGTGACGATGGCATTGAGTGATTTTGAAAGGCATATATATGAAAACTTCTTTGTATAAATTCTTTTTAATCTACAGGTAATACTGCGAGGTGAGGCCAGTTTTAAAAATGAGAGTGGTTTGATGCAAAAAATTTATTCAGAGCCAAAGGTAAAACGAGTCGAAGGAAAGCAACATAGCACACGCTTTGACCTAGTTCCGCCCAACACCAACTATACTGTTAAAGTATCAGGTGTCACACGCAGTCGACACCAAGGAGAAGAAGCAACCTGCCATTGCACCATGCCGCCAACAGTCCCAGATAAAGACAAACTGGCTCGTTTCAGTTGGAGGAAGTTGGAAGAACAAGGACATTGGCTCTTCAAGCTTCTGCTGCCACGTGTAACAGAACGCAATGGCCCAATCTGTTGCTACAGGTATCATATAATCTCTGCATTGACTAACGCGTTAGGTAGAAGAGGGATGAAGGCTGAATAAAACACGTCTCACAAGCCTTTACTGAACATTAGGAGTCTTATATTTAGATACTGTATTAATAATTGTTGTGGGATATACCAGCTGCTGGTCTATGCTCAAGACATAAAACTGCTGGGTGGGTGATAACATAGATACCATAAAGAAGAACACAGAAACTTTAATTGATGCTAGTAATGAGGTTGATCTAGAAGTAAACATAGAGAAAACTTATGCTGTCTCGGCACCAGACTGCAGGACAAAATCATGGCATAAAGAATTGAAATTGTGGCACAGTTCAAATATTTTAGAACAACAGTAAGAGGTCAAAACCTGATTCAGGAGGAAATTAAGAGGAGATTGAGTTTGGGTAATGCTTGGTACCATTCATTCGAGAACCTTTTGTCTTCTTGTCTGCTGTCTAAGAAAGTAAAAATTAGAATATATGAAGCTAATCTTGCCTTTGGTTCTGTATGGGTGTGGAACTTGGTTTCTGATATTAAAGGAATAACATATGCTGAGGGTAATAGAGAACATGATGCTGAGGAGAATATTTTAACCAAAGAGAGACAAAGTGATAGGAGGTTGGAGAAAGGGTTGGCAGGGCATGTAGCACGCATGGGGACAAAGAGGAATGCATATAGGTGTTGGTGGGAAAGCCAGAAGAGAAGAAACCACTACAAAGACCTAAACATTGGTGGAATGATAATATTAAAATAGGTCTTAGAGAGATAGAATTGGGTGGCGTGGACTGGATTGATCAGGCTTAGGATAGGGACCAGTGGAGTGCTTTTGTGAACACATTAATGAACCTTTGTGTGCTATAATATGTTGGAAAATTCTAGAGTAACTGTACAACTGGCAGTTTCTCAAGAAGGGCTCAGCTTCATGGAGTTAGTTATAATTATTAAACTCTTATAAATAAATATACGAGGGCTATTCGGAAAGTGACCTCCAGTGAGCTGTTAACAAAACAAGCAATGGGGAAAAAAGTATTGTGCACAACAAATAAATACATACACATTGACATGCACACACACACACACACACACACACACACACAGCTACTTCTCAGTGTAGTCACCACCGGAATTGAGCTACGTGTCATATCAGGGAATAAGTTCTTGTATGCCTGTGTCAGAGAAATCTGCTCTCTGTATGCTTAGTCATGTTTTGACACCTTCTGTCAGCTCCTCATTATCGTCCAGAGATATGGACTATTGAGCCCAACTTAGTAGGTTTTACCTGGAGACAAAATCCAGTCTTCGAAACATTGTGTTCTGAAAAATTAACAGGACAGGTTTTAGATAGAGACAGGACGATGGATAATGTCCAAAAACATAATATTTGTTAACTCGTTATTGTTGCAGTGCTGTGATCACAACAAGTTCTTCGGGTACATGAAAGGTAGTTGCTTGGAGTGAGATCAGGGCTGTAAGGAGGGTGGTTAAACAACAGACCGTTGAAATACTCCAGCAATGGTGGAGTATGAGCAGGCTGTTGGCAGATGCACATTGTCTTAGAGGAACACTACACTTGATGTCAGCTCCCCACACCATTTGTTCTGAGTGGCCAACCCTACGCAGTTCTCTTAGTGCTTTGCGATATACTTCTGACATAATTGTGGTCCCTTATTGCATGTCTTTCCAGTCCCAGAGATTAGTTACCACCAGATTTCTGGCAGGCAGATAACGTTTGTTTAAACTTTTTCAGCTTGTGTGATAAATGTGCGTACATCCACTGCTATGACTGCTCATTTGTTTCAACATTCACAAATGGAACCCAGGTTTCATCACTTGTTACTTGTACAGTGTGACTGAGAAAACAATTGCCATCTTTGTGGTATCACTCTAGAAAAGTCAAAGCCAAAGCCATTCTCTTCATTTTGTGTGAACCCATGACCATTTTCAGAACCCATAATGTGCAAAGCTTGTGATAGCTTAGCTTAACTGTGATAATCTCATAAAGAGCAATACATGAAATTAGTGGAAATTCACACAGAGGTTCTGAAATTGTGAAGTTCCATCTTTCACAGTTTGTGTGTGTGCGCGCGCGCGCGCGTCACAGCACTGAACAAAATCATCACTCATTACAGATGGCCGACCACTTCATTCTTGATCATGAACATTTGTTCGCTTGCCCATCTGAACATTCTACGCCGTTGTCTTACAGTTCCTTCAGTCATTACATTTATGCTGTAAACCACCATGCATAATTCATGAAGGATTTCTGTGGCACCCATGTTTTTAGGATGAAGAAAGTGGGTAACAGTGCAAATTACGCAGCTGACAGGATTATCAATCCACAGGACACATCATAACTCACTCTGTAGAGACAAGAACAAACACTAGGTGACCAGAGTACTGATCATTTACAATGCAGTGAGTCATGTGATGCTACCTCGCATGCACGAACTCTTCCCCATTCCTACATAAATGGAGGTTACTTTCCAGGTGGCCCTTGTACAGAATTGTGAATTCCTTTTTTATTAGCTCAGCACCAGAATTAGAAAATTTGCTAAGATGACAAAATGCAACTTCTAGCTGCTTGTAATTTATTTATTTTGTTATATATAAATTTGGTTTGCAGATTACTGAAATGGAACTTGTTTTAGGGTTTTTCTGGTTAAACTGGAACCACATCAGAGTGTGGCTGATCTTCCAGCGCCTGAAGATTTCCATGTTTCATCATATGAAGAAGTGCACCATAGTAAGAAAGGTGGTGCGTATGTTGCTGAAATGTTTGAAAGGTGAGAAACATGCCATTGTTGTGCCATTTGGTGTTAATATTATGGATTGAACAAATTTTTTTGAGGAGAAAACGTATTTTTACTTCCAGTCTTTAGCCACAACTTGTAGGCAGGTATAAGTAGGTGATTAGGGCAGAATGGAAAAGAGAGGTGTTAAGAGGCACTTGGTGCAGAGGAACTCAGTCATTGGAGTCCACACTGTAGGCTGTGGGTAGGCTGTAGATGTTATCAGTATAGCTGAATAACACTTAAAGAAAAATGCTGAGTTGTCAATCACCTTTTAGATCTAATGTTTGTTGGCAGCTTAATATTTTTCATACACAAAAAGGAAGGAAAAAAAAATGTGATTGAATATACCCAGTTGCTTTCTGAGCAGTCATGACTAACATCATGAAGGCTGAAACTTACAATTCAGAGCATACAGCATGTCTAGAAATAGACACGCGTGGATTCCATCACATGATTCCTTTATGAACATTGTGTCTAAAATGTCCCTCTATAAAATTTTGACTGATGCATACTTTTTGCAGGAAATGCAAGTTGATTGTAGTATGTTCCCATCTCGATCTTAGTCTTCCTCTTGAGTGATTTCTGTTTAGTTTCATGTTCAGTACCTTCTTCAAAATCCTGCCTTTGTTAAGTTTTAAAATATTGTGTCTGTTAAAAAAATTGTATAAGAAAGTGACATAACCTGTCGTTTGTGTCATATACTTGTGTTTAGGTTTTGGCACAAAAAGAAAATCTAACATTGATTGTGGTATGATAATGCAGTGTGGATATTCAAGCCTATAGTGTACATCATGCATTATCTTGATGAGCATTGAGATGGTGCTCCTTCTTTCATCCAGATATGTGTAAAACATCATATATGATGTATGGTGTAATCAGTGTATTTTAGCATAGTGAGAGGCTTCACATTTCTTTTTCTTGTACTTGGAGTCTTACCCTAATTTTGCAATTACCCTAATTGAAGTTAAATGTCATTAGCAGTGTGATATTATTCCCCATAGTCATGTTTTCTGTGAAAATTTATCAAGAGACATTCTTGTTTCATTGTTTGTCGAAGAATTGCATGGTGGATTCCGTATGCATGAATTTCTGGACCCTGTGCAGGTACATAGGAACAATGAAAATTCTTACTGCTTTGATAAAATTTTCTTTTCATATGTAATATATATTTATATCAGTTCTTAAATTGCCTTATAATTTTTTGTTTTTATCTTTCTCTGTATCATTTGTATTCAGAAGGCCATGTGCATGTTATATATTGGACCTTACTTCCCAAAGTATTAATAGAGATACTTACAGTGATATTTTAAACTTAATTTTAATTATTTTTTAATGTTTGTTGTCTCTTCAGTAATTCTCTAATCAGTGAAGTATTCTTGGGTGATGGGCAGACGATGCATGTCAACAGTTCTGCTTGCGATCATTGTATTGGACTTCGACCGAAACTTCATTTGCATAAGACCACCCACTTGCCTATTTCTACCACCCATGTTCCTACAGCTGCCACAGCTACCCTCCCTGAAGTATCTGGCAACATGGATCCTCCTGCAGTGTCCCCATCAGTGGATTATTTTAGCAGTACATTTGAACCCAGTCTGGAGCCCATCCGTGTTCGACGTGCCGAGTCAACCTTTGCTCCTGACCCTGTGCCAACACTTGTTCTGCCTCAAGTCCCAGTACCTAGTATGTCACCACCACCTCCCCACACCAGCATTGGACCAGTGACTCAGATGGACATTGTGGGCGGTCAGTTCCCAGTACATGATGGCCAGCTTGATAGCAACAGCAACTATACAGGATTTGTGGAAGTGATAGGTGAGACTGCCATACTTTAGTCAATATTAGATTAATTATATTTTTGATAAACTCATATAAAGTTATAGCTTCAGCATTGTTTTGTGGTCTCCTCATGTCTACTGAGGTAAACATCCGTTTCTGAAGTTAGAGAAGTCAGGAGGAGAATATTTCTGCTAGCATTAATAGGGCGCTTATAACATTCATGGTAAGCAAAGACAATTTATGGTTTAAAGTGATAGTTCCAGTAACATTCCATGTTTGGGTGTGACATGTTAGCCAGGGTCTTGAGATAGTGATCCTATGGCAGCACACTAGAGTAGAAAGGACCACGGTAGAGTTCGATTTTGATCCAGTATAGTTTAATTCTAGGCTTTTGGTCATGATCCATCTGACCTATAACTGCAGTAAATAAAATTATGAGTACATCTTTCATGCGAATTGCTGGTAGTATGGAATGTCTGAATTGTTTCTTGCGTGGGCTTATTGCTGCATATAGCAGTTGGTCTGTTGTACAGTATCTGGTAGGATGGTCTGAAAGTACAGCAAAGAGAAATCATGAGGTGAAATTTCAGAAATGCTGGGAATAGTGTTTTTATTTAACCCATATTCTCCCACAAACTAGCACACATCTGTCTTTTCAGAAGAGAAGGGTGTGTGTACCACTCTGAATCTTCATCATTGTCTTGAGATGGTGATGGTTATTGGAATGGAGAATCTTCCATCTATTGTTATGAAACAATATCAGCATATTCTCCAGCATTGTCCTGTGCACATGCTAAATAAACTAATAAATGATTCCTGTTCAAAGATCCTGTCATATTGATTGCAGTTCACAGATTAGTGAAAGTGTTGAGTACAGAAACAGAAATATAAAGTGGGAAAAATCTACTATTGAATGTTATATTATCATACTAAGTACTCTTACAAATGCCCTAAAAAGAATGAGAAGAAAAACATTTTTACTGGGTTGGTACAAAGAAACTTTAATTGAAGCTAGTAATGAGGTTGGTCAAGAAGTAAACACAGAGAAAACTAAGTATGTGTTGCTCACTCATTACCAGAATGCAAGGCAAAATCATGACATAAAGATAGCTAATAGATGTTTTGAAAATGTGGCACCCTTCAGGTATTTGGGGATGACTGTAACAAATCAAAACCTGATTAAGGAGAAAATTAAGAGGAGATTGAATTCAGGTAATGCTTGCTACCATTCAGTCCAGAACCTGTTATCTTCTCATCTGCTCTCTAAAGCATAAAAAGTAGAATATACAGGACTATAATTTTGCCTGTGGTTCTGTATGGGTGTGAAACTTGGTCTCTGGCATTAAGGGAGGAACATAGACTGAGGGTGTTTGAGAACAGGGTGCTGAGGAGGATTTTTGGATTAAAAAGAGATGAAGTGACAGGAGGTTGGAGAAAACTGCATACATAATGAGGAGCTCCATAACCTGTGTTCTTTGCCAAGTATAATTAGAATCATCAAGTCAAGGAGAATGAGGTGGACAGGACATGTAGCATGAATGGAGAGCAGAGGAATGCATATAGGGTATTGGTGGGAAAGCCAGAAGGAAAGAGGCCACTAGCAAGAGCAGGATGTAGGTGGGTGGACAGTATTAAAATGGATCTTAGATAGGATGGGATTATATGGACCGAATCGATCTGGCTCAGGATAGAGACTAGTGGAAGGCTCTTGAGAACAGTAATGAAGCTTTTGGTTCCATAAAATACTGGGAAGTTCTTGATAGCTGTACAATTGGCAGCTTCTCAAGAAGTGCTCAGCTCCATGAGTGAGTGATGAGTGGTTCAAAGAATCAACAAAGCATTGCACGTGATCACAGCAGCTGTTTACAAAGGAAAATAAATGTGTTGCCTGAACTGTTTATGTAATGATACTCCTGAAACATTGCTGAGTGGAATTACATCTTTGTTTGGGTAGAACACACACAGAGGGTGCCAAAAGGGCTACTTAGTAAGAAGATGTGGGATTGTTGATAATCGGGTCAGATTGCTCAGATGTTGATACATCAGGCAGTTTGTGTTCAGTACTCTTCATATTTCTGAAGTCTTGTGACTACAGGTCACAGTAGTTCCAATTTTGTTCCAAATCACATCAGATCAATGAGAACTTTGTTTTATGTGTGCACATAGTTGTAAAGCACACCAGTCCACTTTACTGCACTGTTGTGGTGAATGTGTTTGAGAAGAATAGATGGAAGAACTGACTTGTGCTATGGCTAGTTTAATCTTAGAGCAAGGGATAGAACAGTGACAGTTTTTCTACATATCTGCATTCAGTGAGCTTGTACTAGAGATATGACTGATAGCACTATGAGCATGCGCCCAGAATATCATGTTTTAGGACTATCTAAATGCTGCAAATACATATTGCGATTTGTGTCTTGGGATTAAACATACATTTCTGTTTGACATAATTGACGGAACTTTGCTATTAACTTTAAGTGGTGGAAGTTGGTGTGTTGGGATTAGATATGCTTTCATCCCTGTTTAAGGGTAGGACAGTAATTAATACTTATATAATACTGAAATGTTCATAAAGGGGATTACATTTTGTGTTGGTGACAAAGACTTAAAAATGAGAGCCATGTGCTTGGGGGATGATAGCTCTATACTCTTATAAGTTCCCATGATCAGAGCACTGCACCATGAGGGAATGTATTGATACCATGTACAACAATACTGAGGTCACAGTCGTATGAGAAGGATTGTGTAAATTGAGGTTTGAAATTGTCTTTTAAATGTAAGTAACAGAAGCATTTAATACTCTTACCCTTGCAAGAATGCAAGCCAAGTGATACAAAGCAGTGCAGTGAAACTTCTGGAGCAGTTGTACATAAAATAAATTTATAAAACTGGTAAAAATATACTCATTTGGAATATTTACTTAACTTAGTTGTATGTTGCCTCCCCCTAGCCAGAATTCTGCAGTTTATTATTTGTTATGACTTTGTCATGTGCTTATTTATTTTCATGTTAAGGTATCTGTGGAGTCATGCTGTAACACAAAGTTCCTTTCAAACATATATATTTTATATGTGTATCAGGATGGACTTGGCAGATTCTTAGGTACAAAATCTAAACTGAAGACATCAGAGCTTGTTTTAAATGTTGTGTGTTTGTGGCAGTGTTTGGGCCCGAGCAGATGCTGTTGCCCGCATACAGTGGGTACTTTATGGTACTGAAACCAGGACTCCAGGTACTGCAAGCTGCTGAGCAGTCTCAGGTGTTGGCACTGGTTCTGCAGGTTCTCTGTGCGTTGATTCTCATCGTGCTCGTGCTATTACTCTCCCTTTGTCTGCTTCAGCGCTACACCAAGCAGGTGGCAGAAGCCCAGGGTGTTGAGATGACTTTGACCAATTCCTTCAGGTATTTTACATCTGTTGTACCTACTACAGACATCTGCATATGATCAGTTTCTGATCACTGGCTACAGATTATCTGTTTTATTTATTTTACATGATCGCACATTTTCACAAATATGGACACGAGAACTAAGTTTTTGTCCTTTTCCCACCTCTGAAAGCCAGTACAGTGGTTAAATCATGGATGAGGAAAGAGGGATGCTGTAATGGTAATAGTGGAAGTGAAATAAGGATGGGAGATGGTTTGCTGTACATTTATAGTCATATGTTAACTACCAACTGTGAAAACATAAGTCTCCTTACTGTTTTTAGGCTTTCATGTTTGTTATTTATTGGTGTGGTTGTGGGCAATGTTGCTGATGTTTTTGAGGTATGTGCTGCCCCCATCTTCAATGTCATAGTGTGTATATTGGAGAGTTGGCATGTGTGTATATATAGCATTCTTTTTGACCAGGAATGGGGGAAGGGGGGGGGGATATAGTTCTTGACTGGTCCAGTTGGCAACATTGCCCACAACCACACAGTGTAACAACCCAAGAACATAATTAATGTGAGTTACCTTATCAAATATTAGTCATCTATATTAATATAATTCAGCCGTGATAACAAAACGAAGAAAGAAAGCTGGAAACATGAATGAGTTTCAGTTAGATCATATTAGTCACTGCCTTTGTGATATTTTGTGTACTCACTTGGAGTCACACAAACAAAGTGGGTAGTGTCTGAACGTTTGAAAGGAAAAGAGACATTATAGGAAGTAACATACATGCCCTGGTGAGTTGATTTCATGGTTTTTCGGTCCTTCAGACAAAGTCTGGGATAGTACCTCAATTAGGGCACGATTGCTTCCATAAAAACCCTTTCCAAATTATCATTCATCCATCTCTTCAGCGCTATATAGTTTAGCTACTGAAAGCATTGTTAAATAACGCACATGTAGATAAATTGAAACAGTACACTATTTTTATTGAAATACGTAGCTGATTCCAAAAGTAAGGTCTCCAAAGCGCTGGATAATTTTTCGTGCGGCTGTTGGCAACCCTGTTGCATTCGTTGCTTCCCCCACTCCCCCCAATACCACCAAGCATGCGCGCACGTAGCTAGGACGCTCACTCTTGGCACGGTTGCCGTTAGAAATGGAGCGCCCGATTACTAAAACCGCGAAGTGTGAGATTCGCGCATTTATTCGGTTTTTGAATGCAAAAGGGACTAAACCAATTGAAATTCATCGTCAATTGGTGGAAGTGTATGGCGAGTCGTGCATGGACATAAAGAATGTCCGCAAGTGGTGTAGGGAGTTTGAATCTGGTCGTACTGCAATACAAGACGAAAAAAGAACTGGGAGACTGTCAATTTCTGACGAGACAGTCCCGAAGATTGAGCGAGTCATGCGTCAGGATAGGCGCATCACACTCGATGATCTCTGTATTTCGGTTCCCCGAGGTTTCCCGAACCACCATTTATCGGGTTTTGACAGAGAAGTTGAATTATCGGAAGGTGTGCGCAAGATGGGTCCTGCGAATGCTCACGGAAGACCACAAACGGCAGAGAGTTGACTCTTCCCGTGAATTTCTTCGCCGCTATGCTGACGAAAAGGACAACTTCTTGAATTCAATTGTCACAGGCACGAAACCTGGGTGTACCACTTCACACCTGAGAGAAAACAACAATCACGTCAGTGGCGGCATTCCTCTTCGCCTAAGCCTCGAAAATTCAAGCAAACACAGTCTGCCGGTAAAGTCATGGCAACTGTGTTTTGGGATTGAAACAGGGTATTGTTGGTTGACTTTATGGAAACTGGGACCACAATAAACGCTGAGAGATATTGTGAGACACTGAGAAAACTCAGGCGGGCGATTCAGAACCGGAGAAGAGGGATGTTGAGCAAGGGCGTAAGCATTCTCCACAATAACGCTCGCCCCCATGCTGCCCGACAAACCGTCGCTCAACTGCAACAGTTTGGATGGAACATCACCACCCATCCACCCTATAGTCTGGACTTGGCGCCCAGTGACTACCATCTCTTTCCAAAGTTGAAAGAACATTTGTCTGGAAAGCGCTTCAACAACGACGATGAGGTGAAAGCTGAGGTTCGAAGTTTCCTGAACAGCATGGAGGTGAACTGGTATGACATGGGCATACAAAAACTGCCACTGCGCCTACAAAAATGCATCGACCGAAATGGCGATTATGTAGAGAAATGAGTACATGTTCAAGATTCAACTGATGTATCCAAAATTGAAAATAAATGTTTATTTTATGTTTTCAAACATAGGAGACCTTACTTTTGGAATTACCCTCGTATTATCTTTTATAGGTCACTGCCGTAGTTGTGTAATGCTTTAGTTTCGGACAAAGAAGTGATATTGATGGGTGGAGGCACTCTAGTGCTGCATCCTCTTGGGATATGATTGTATGTTGATCAGTTGAGTTTCTAAAGAAAATAAAGTGTTTTTCTGCAGACACTTGTGTCGCAGTTTACGTGGACGTCACGTGTTGGTGTCTGCTAGCCCACCTGACATGACACCTATAGCCAAGGCTGACCTGACCATGGCATATGTGGAGAGACACAGGGACTCAGATTATGGCTTCCAGCATGAGTTTGAAGTGAGTCTGTTGTTATGATCTTAATGTAGTTTTTTCATTCTGTAATCTAAGGGATGCATAACTATGAATCCCTAGAAATTTGTATTCAGTTCATGATGATGACAGTGAGAGGGAATAGGAATTTCTTGCAGTTTCATATGTTTTACTGGTGAATTTTATATCAGTTGTAGATTGCAGTTATGCACTCTTCGTTTCATAAACTGTAAGTGTATAATGTCATTTTATTGATCTTAAATATTTCTAAATACTATTCAGTTTTGTGTTATTGAATTTGTTAGGTTATATATTATTATTTCTTCATTATAACACCACTGTTTCCTATATCGTACCCAAAATTTTAAGAGTTATGTTATGGTGAGAAGGGGATGGGTGTCATATAGGTACATGAAATATATAACGTGACATTCACTTTGGTTTCTTCAGTTACTGCCAGATCGTTTCCCAGACCGCACCACACGCCATTCAGAGGCTCGAGAAAATGCATACAAGAATCGATATCCAGACATCAAGGCATATGACCAGACACGAGTTCGACTGTCTCAAGTGGACAGTGTAGTAGGTTCGGATTACATCAATGCCAACTTTGTTGTGGGCTACAAAGAACGCAAGAAGTTTATATGTGCACAAGGTATGTGATGAATAATTTCAGAGAGAATTCTCTATTCAAAAGTTCTGGCGTTTGTATTGCTGTGTTCACTTAAATAATGTTTCCATATCTGTAGTATGCTAAAGTTTAAAATAAACCCATCTGTATATTTTTAAACACTTCATGGTGAAGAACTATATTGACTCAGCATGACCCAGCAACATACAATTCATTAGAGTACTCTTTTAGTTGGAAAGTGCATCAAGGTCTCGTATTTTAGAAAATCTGTCATTAAAGTATATTCTGTGACTGAAGTACATTATGTGATGTCAAAATATGGTCTGATGTGAAATATTCCCTCCAAAACACAAAGAATATTGTGACATGTTGCGAAATCTGAGCCCCCCCCCACACCAGCAGTGACGCGGTGGGTGAGTCAGTTCTCCCCTCCCACCCCTCAGCGGTAACGTAACGCTCGCGGTAATAGGCGAGTAATCACCCCGCAATGCGCAACGCGCGGTGACGTCACGAGCGGAGCCGAAGAGAGCCGAGCGGAGCCGAAGATAGCCGAGCCCCGTAACCTGGCAACTACGCAATGCTAATCAACAGCGGTGACGTCACGCTAGCAACAGCGTCCTATGCTATACGCCACGTCACACTAGCAACAAGGGTGCCTATTACGTGGCCGTATTGTCCGATCGAGGCTACATAGGGAGCAGCGAAGGCTATTCACAGTTCAGTTGAAACATAGCAGCCTGCGAGTGTGCGATAACTAAGAAGTCAGCGAGCGGAAGACTTATTGTGTGCTTTCCAGACATAGTGATTGCTGTAGTACAGTTATACTCGGAGTGTGTATTTCAGGGAGACTTGTATAGCTCCCGCGTTATCAGTACGTGAAGACAAGTGAAGATTGTGTTAAGAGATTGTGTGGTAGGGTTTGTAAAGTGTGGAAACCCGTAACGTTGTGATAATTAAGTGTAGCCGATAGTTGTAGATTGTTCAATAAACCAGTTAACGATCTCTACGGCGTATTCAGTAACGTAAACACGTTACAATATATTAAAAAATAATAACTTTAAAGCAGATGCCATAAAAAACAGGATGTATATGGTTGCAATATATGCCACTTATATGCAGATTTAACCTTTTCATCATGATTTTGACCTATACAAAATATTGGGGCATTAAGTATATTGCAGTTACATGATGAAACCCATCACACTATATTTAGCACTCTCAAAATATGTTTGGTGTTTTGTATGCAGAAGCTTTAATTGTCACTAGTAAGAATGTTGATGTCTCATCACCAGAATGCAGGGCAGAATCATGACATAAAGATTGTTCAGAAATGTGGCAAAGTTCAAATATTTGGGAGACAGTAACAAATCAAAATTTGATTCAGGAGGAAATTAATAGGAGATTTAGTTCTGTTAATGCTTGCTTTCCAGAACCTTTCGTCTTCTCCTCTGCTATCAAAAAACATAAAAATTAAAATAAACAACTGTAATTTTGCCCATAGTTCTGTATGGGTGTGAAACTTGGGCTCTGACATTAAGGGAAGAAGAAGGCTGAGGGTGATTGAGGACAGGATGCTGAGGAGAATATTTGGAATGAGGAGGGATGAAATAATTTGAAGTTGGAGAAATTTGCATAATGAGGAGCTTAATAATTTGTACTCCTTACCAGATGTAATTAGCATGATCAAATCAAGGAGGATGAGATGTAGCATGCATTGGGGAGAAGAGGAATGCATATGGGAGTTGGATGAAAATCAAGAAGGAAAGAGACTACTTGGGAGACCAAGGTATAGGTGGGAGGATAATATTAAAATACATCTTAAAGAGAAAGAATGGGGTGGTATGGTCTGGATTAATTTGGCTAAAGATAGTGACCAGCAGTGAGCTCTTGTGATCACAGTACTGAACCATTGGGTCGTATCAAATTTTGGGAAATTCTATAGTAGCTAAGCAACTGGCTGCTTCTCAAGAAGGATTCGGTTGCATAGAGTTAGTCTAGTTACTGAAATTGAAAGAGTATGAAACCCCAGTCACTAGTGCCCAGCAGATGGCAAGAAACTTTAGGAATCATAAAGTTAATGTGCACTGAAAGGTATCTATGATGTCTTATTTCTAGGGCCTATGGACAATACTGTGTGTGACTTCTGGCGAATGGTATGGGAACAGCATCTGGAATTAATTCTCATGCTAACAAACTTGGAAGAATATAGCAAAACCAAATGTGCCAAATATTGGCCAGATGATGCAGAAGGGGACAAAATGTTTGGTGACTTTGGTGTAGCACATGTGCGAGAAAAGAGATACTCAGGTTTGTTGCTTTAAAATGTAAATAAGCTTAATTTGTGCATCATATAATACTTCATATTAAATATTTTCTGAAATTTGTGTATGTGTGCATGTGTGTATGTTTTTGATATGGGAGGTCTGCATATGCTAGGATTTCAGCTGGTATCTTGCTTTGCTGATTCAGCCCTGAAGATGGAGGTGGTATGTTCCTCTGAAGCATTGGTTGACTTTCAGCAGACTACACAGCATTAAACCCCAGAAGATAGTACTCTTCAAGTTAATAATCAGTGAAAAAGTGAAAATTATTCAGGAGGTGGAAGAAAATCCATCTGTGTTATGAAATGAAATTGTGAGGTGTTTTGTGCTGCCTTCGTTGTCGTTAAGTAACCAGATTGTATGGAAAGCTTCAATTCTGGAAGAGAAAAGTTGGCATGAGGCACATTCTGAGAAATAGAAAAACTTCGGTTTTTAATTGAACAAGATTCAGTTCCTTATTGATTTAAGTAACTTTTAACAGTCATTTTAGGCTATGTTTTCCAAAACCCCATTTAAGGTACAAAAAGATTGTCACCTAGAGAAACCTTAAATCATGGTTTCACTATATACAATCAAATCTGACTTACAGCGTCAAGCCTATATATTGTCACATGCTAGTAATTAGACATGGTGGTTTGGATTGGTAATTGGATTTATTGGACACTTATAACTACAAATAATTATAACACTTGTCAGTAATCTACACACTTAACAGTTAACTGCAGCACATGCTAAGTCTCAATCTGGTACGTCTCCACTAGCTCTTGCTTGGTAGCAGCGTTTAACAGTGTGGATTCCTCAGCTTCCATACTCATGTCCTTGCTGGTGACTTCCTCTGGTCTTAGTTATATAGGCTTTGCACAGACTTCATAGAAAAAACTGCTTCCAGTAGTTCTTCCATTGTTGTATGTATATCCATTTCTCCTGGAACATGTTAACTAAGCTGTTGCATAATGATGGCCATCTCTTCTCACTCCACTCTTCTGGCTTTCAGCCCTCAGGTAGAACCTCTATCAGGTGTTTGTTACACTTTCCCTACATCTGAGAGAAGTTTTCAGACAAAATAACTATTGTCAACAACTGATTGGTCATTGAACACACTTCTTCTGCATCAGAGAGAAATTTTTGGACATGAAAAGCACTATCATGAACAGCTGACTGGGTAATGAATATGCCATGTCCTAATTCACCCACACAATGTGTTGTCTAGTAGTGCTATCTACACATCAGTACAGCAATCATTTTTAAACATTAACACTAACTAGAAAATATAAAAATTCAAAACATTTTTTCTGTATGTTGGGCCAGAGTTACCCCAGATTGTGGTACTCACAGTCATTGTATAGTGTTTATTGACTGCCAGTTAGAACAGCTGTGTACATGTGTGCCAAGTGCTTCTGCTTCAGTCTCACATAAATTATGTGTTCAGACTATAGTTCTTTCCTCCCCTTAACAAGGAAGAGACACAAGGAGTGGTTTAATGGTACCTTAATGGACCATAAGCTATAAGTAGCTTGGGAAGCAAACCTGTAGTTGCAGTTCATGCAGAAAGTTGCAGAAAGGAAGTTGGAGCTGCCTGGGAATCACTTGATATGACTGAAATTCCAGGAAATGCCTTTGTTTTACATGAGGGTTTTCCACATGTGTAAGATCAAGAAGTTGACAGTGCCATGTTTTTTGTTCTTGTCATAATGAAATTGTGTCACACAATATTTGGCTTATTGCAGTTTCACTGTATGTAGTGTTCTGTGACTGCTGGGATAGGTTGACAGTGGGACTGGATCCCTTGGGAGTCACTGGAATGTTTATTGTGTACTGTAGCCAAAGGTTTAATGAAGATCTGTGTTACAAGGTAAATGTACACAGTTTGCTTGTGAACCAAGGAGAGAGTGACCGATCATGCACCTAAGCATGGGCAGTGCTGGCTTGAAACTGATTAGAGTATTGTCCTATCAGATTAGAAAGTTGCTGCTTAAGGCTGTAGCAGTAGAGGACATCAAATGAGAGCCTAGTATGTTCCACACATGAACACCAACATTTGGTGATGCTGACCTTAAATATATTTATCTAAATCATACAAAATAATGGTCTTGCAAATGTTGCTTCATCCCCATACTCTCCCACTGTGTACATGGACCTTGGCCTGTTGTTTCTCTATTAACTCCCTGACCAGAGAGCACACAGCTTTGGAGAAGCATTCAACATCTGTCTACAAAAATAACTTGCGTATGGATGCTGTTTTGAAATAACAGTGGGAATTCCTTTTTGTTAACAATAAAATTATGTACAGTTACTTTAATGGTTAATCTATGTAGTTGTACTGATCAGATATTATAGTATTTATTAATCCTTTTTCATTGAAACTGTTTGCTGTAATAACACTGTATGTATGTTTTATCATTTTATATACAGCAATAACTCACATAGTCTGGCTTCGATCAGTTTGGATTCACTATAGTCAGATTTGAAAATTTCAAAACAAACCAAATATTAATTGAGCAAAATAAAAATAAATTCTAAAAAATTATTAGTACACAAAATTATTTTTAATACATAAATGATGGCTTTTTCCCTTTATACAGTCAGGTCTCTTTTTGTGCGGTTTATTTTTATGTGGTTTTAAAGTTATGCGATATGATACATATTTCAATTTTTTCTGAGGTTCTCCCTTGTATATGTATGTACCTATGCTCGGGTCGTTCATTCTTGAGCTCTGACAGCTATCGCTGGAGGAGGTGGGGAGAGCACTACTCTAACGGAATTTTGGAAGAGCTTCAACATCAGAAACGTTATCGAAAATATAGGCAAAGCATGACATGAATTAATGGCAAGCAATATGAGGGCAGTATGGAAACATATCATAGTACATTGTGCAAATGATTTCATTTCATTGAAACTCGTTTTGCTGAAGTCACTAATGACATAGTGAAAATTGGACAGCAACTTGTTTTCAGTGAGTTAGATTCTGTTAACGTAATTGAGTGCATCAAACTAATGAGCTAGATAATGAAACACTTATTAACATAGATGAACAATGGGCTTATGAAGAACGGGAGAACAACTTAGACAGCGACGACTGTGTTCAAGTGCCTGCATGAGAATTAAAAGCTGAACAACTATAAAAAATTATTGGAATGATTGAAACTTTGTCAGAGCATATTATGTAAGTTGATCCCAATATTGAACGTAGCCTTACAATTTGCCGAACGATAAACAATGCAATTCCTCCAGAATGTTGGTATCTGCTAGTATCTAGCAAACTATGCAGTATCACATCTCAGGAGAAAGTAGTCCTAATGAATATTATCTTTTTGAATACTGTGAACATGACAGCTGTGGAGTTATAATCTGTATGGTACTAATGACCAGACCAACATAGAAGTTGTTGGGCCAGTGCCAAATGTGAATGTATTTATGATTGAACTTGATTAGATCCACTGTGCAATTTTTCTTCTCCATTAGAATGCAAGTTCTTGAAAACTTTTGTAACAAAAATAATCAGTGAAGGAACATTCAGTTAATGTTGCATAAAAATTCTCATTACATGAGACTTACGAGTATACTGTAGTTTTGAATATGAGAGTGAGTGAAGCTGTATTTGTGTCCTCTGCATGCTCTCACAGCATAGTGCTTAGGCACAAGAATACTGGTACCTTTCATCTTAGTTAATGGATGGTCGTAACCTGTGAAGAAGATTAAGAAAAATTGTGATGTTACAGATTATATTGTACGTGAATTAAAAATGTGGCGGACATGTGGGAGTGGAATCAAGGACCGAGAAAAAGAGGAAAGAAGCATAGTGCAATACCACTATCTAGTATGGAAAGACTTTATGGCTCCAGAGCATCCAGCAGGAATCCTCAAGTTCATAAGGAGGATGAATGAAGCTTACTCACTAGAAAAAGGACCCATTCTAGTTCATTGCAGGTGTGTACACAGAGTGGTGATCATTAGGAATTGCTATCACAGCATATGTATGGCATGCATATATTTGTGCAAAGTGTAGGAAGGAGCAGCATAGCAGGTTTTGGGTTCTGTAGAAGGCAGGGCGTTTCTTGACTAGCTGAGTGACTGTTAGCTTCTCAAGAAGAATTCAGCACTGTGGGGTTTGTTGCTAATACCTTTGATTCCTGTAACACAAAAACATCAAAAGGCAATGTACAGGGAGATTATCTGAGAGCTTCCCAAAAATACTTTAGCATGTTGGACAAGAGGGACACAGGCTAATCATGTCATATTGCACTGTGCGTGTTCTGTCTCATTGCATGGTCAGCAAACCAGTAGCCTATATACTTTACAATTTCCCATCAGTATAACCCAATAAATGGTCGAACAGCTACAGTGAATTGAGCTTATGCACAATGTGCGGGCCCAATCATAAATCCTAAGATTCATGTTTGCTACTGCTGTTGTATCTGAGCTCTGCAATAATCAGTCAAGACTTGGTTGTATCATTTCCTTTGTCAAAATGCCATATGTATGTTACACATGGCAGCAATGAGTATCACATACAGTGCCTATATGAAAAGTGGTCATGTAAGAAAGGTAAGTGGAAGATTGCAGGATAAATTTCAGGATGTTGCAGTTCCAAACAGAAATCTGTTCCTGCAGTCAAAAAATAAGTGAAGACAGACAAGGTCATTGTTGGACAAAGAAAACTGAATCAAAACACGAAATGCTCTGTGAAGAGAAGTTGGATGAAATAGGCTTGAACATTCTCCTCAAAAATATTCACAGATTAAACCCTCACACAGTTGAAGAACTTGAGGAAAATATCCAAAGGGAAGTTTATTGTATTTTGCAACAAGAACATCAGGACACAAATTTAAACTAAATGTGGAGATGCCAGGAATGTATGCAGAATAATGGAGAGCATTTCCAGCATCTGCTCTGATCTGGTCCCCCCCCCAAACTATTCCACTTGCCTGAACGTGCGTAGTGCAAGATGACATGGGTAATCTGACCCTTTCGCCCAACAGGCTGTGGCTTTCAGGATGGCCCATGTTTTCAGATGACCTCCATGTAACTGTTTCATATCCATAGGTTTTCCTTGGTTATCTTTCTTGTATCAGGCAAATTCCACAGAAGTACCATAAAGTTGACCTTGGCTTGTTGCTCCCACATCCATCCTGATGCATTTATTCTTGGTCCTGTGTCATCTCAGGTGATTGTATAAACTCTACAGTTAATTTGTTTTTTGAGATAATTGACTAATCAACCTGTTGTATGAGAGCAGTTGCTGATACTTCCATTTCATCTTGCTCTCTTGATCATGGCACCTTCCAGAAACCTATAATACACAATTTTAGACACACATGCATGTGCGCGCGCGCGCACACACACACACACACATTACTTTTTTTACACTTACCTTAATTTATGCACAAAGAAGACATTGCTGGATATGCTTTTATTTTAGTTTCCTTGTATTATTTATTTATTGGTTATTTCATCTGCTGTTTCATGTTGTTTAATTACTGACTCCATCTTCACTTATACACTGAAGATGAAATCAGCGGGTTACTGCAAAATGTTTTTAACCAACTTCTAAACTACGTTGTGTCATAAACCGAAAGTTCAGAAGTCTAATTTGTACTGCTACGAAGACTTCAGATTTCATTTGACCACTCGTGAATTAATGTAGATGTAATGAGCGGCCCTCATGAAGACATTTGCTTTTCTTTTATATGCTACCATAGAAGTGGTTTTACTGTTAATATTACTGCACATAAATTGTTCTTTATTTTTACAGTGCAGGAGTAGGTCGGACAGGCACACTAGTGGCCCTAGACTCTTTGTTGCAGCAATTGGCTGAAGAGGGCCATGTGGCAATTTTCAATACTGTGTGTGATCTGCGCCATCAGCGCAACTTTTTAGTTCAGTCATTGGTAAGTTTTCCTGGCTCTTGTATTTAATTGTTTTATTAGTTTATCATTAAAAAGTTACATATAAATGCATAGCAAGTGACAAAAAACTTAATCTACTTACCTTCCTAAAAGCATGTGTGGAAAACAACTACAAAGAAGGGAAATCATCTAACAGCCTGTGTAGCATGGAAACAAAAAGAACATCCGTGTGAAGATTCAGTGCTGCAAACATTCAAGCAATTTTAGATTGTGTAGTTGTTGCAGTGCAATAACCTTGGCCCATTTTAATTTCATATGTTAACAGTGCATTTTGTTATTCTGTAGCTAGATGACATTCAGTTGAGTTTCCTTTTATGAAGGGCCGCGCCGTAGCTCAAGCGGATAGTCGCTGGCTTCACACCGCAGCAGCCCANTGGTTTCCCCTGCCAATCTTCATTCCACCAAATTCTCCATCATCATAATCACCCGGGGCAGGCTACAATAGGCCAATCAGTGGCCACCATGCCGAGTGGACCCAGTTGGACTCCACCCCCCACTAAGTGAATTTAAAAAAAGAAAATCCTTTTATGAACAGGGTATTGAAAGTAGCTCTTTGCCTGAAATAAGGTGAATATGTGTACTAGTGGTTTCTTAAATGAGATGTCTTGTTGCAGTATGTTGTGACAGAAGATTTGCCTGTTTATTGGGTACAAGAATAAATATTGTCACATGTTAGTGATGAGAGGCATGAAAATAAGAAAGAATAGTTCAGTACTCTTTGTCTTTTAAGCATTATCTGATGCAGAAGCAAGCAGGTTTCACATATTTACATGACCTGTTTTATTCACAACAGGCCAGTTATTAGGAGCTGTACTTTAAAACCCAAAGTCCTCCCCTCCCCCATTAGGCCTGTTTTTGCATGCCAGCAGCACAAGAAGTGAAGTCAAACTGACTCACATGTATAGTTTGGTTCTAAATTCACCAGAGTTGCATGACACTTTGTGCATTTTAATATCTTTTTTATTTCTTTGAAATGCTAAGCCTTCCTTTGGAACACTGAAAGTTCTTGATTAGTAAACATGTTGCAGAATGGTTAGGTTTTGCTTGTTCATCAGTCTGTCAGTTAGTATGACCAGCTGATAAATATCATGTATTTTGTCCTTGTTCTTCAAAGTGGTGAACAGTGTCAAAGAGGTTAATCCACACTTTCTGCTGTTTTACTCTTTGTGCAAGCTGCTGACTTCACAGGAGCTTATTACATCAAGCTGCATATTGAAGTCTGAGCATTTCCTTTGTGTTATCACAGAGTTGAAGAGTTTTTAGCTGACACAATGCAATCACTGAAAATTTTTCCAGCTCCTGTTCACAGTACACAATGAAGCAAGTTTCTTGAATGAAGGGAATTTATAGGACATCATGTTATGAATATTTCTCATTGGCTGAAGTTTGGAAGGGACTCCAGCTTGAAGTCATTACATTGTGCTGCATTGTACCTAGCTGTAACTTCATCACATTTTGATGAGTTGTGTCGTGTTTCAGTACCACATATTAGATGTCTGTGCATGCATTCTAAGGACATCCACCTCAAGGTCGAGCAGCTCCTCCAATCAGAAACACACTGCTCAAATTCTGAAATTTTAACTCTCTCCCTAGACAAGGAGAGGCCCAGAGGATGGCTTAACTGTACCATTGTGGACCACCTGCCATGAATAGTTAAGAAATGGAAACAGCAAGAACATTCTACAAAATCTTACAGCCGTAAATTATGGCTAGTTAGAAATTGCTCGTAATTATGAAAGCATAAGAAAGAAGCCCTTGTTTTAAGCTATTTTTTCTCCCCATACATCTAATTTTAAGATATTGTTGATACATTTTTCTTATAAGCCATTGTATTTGTATTGTGGTAATGAAAAACATGATAATTCTGGCACGTCCATCAGGATCAGATAGCAGTTATTTCTGGTTTTGTCTGGCAGAGGCCAAGCAAGCACGAGCAGCAGATATAACATTGTTGAATGGAGACAGTGAATATGAGAGAATGAAACATCTGGTCATTGATATATTACAAGATTACAAGCAGTTTATATTGCTGTTGATTGTGAACACTTAAATCTCATGGGCTACATGAGGACAAATAATGGTTTCAGGCTTATATAAAAATTAGACCAACATATGCATCTGCTGACCCTGCCACTTAATACTGTGGTGAACACTGAACAGAAATGTCTATTGATGAAATTTAAACTGATGGTTAATTTTTTGGAACACCTGATTAACATCACACATGCTGTGTTGCCATATTACGTTCAACTTAAATGTATTTTTTCCAAAAAAATAAAATATGCCGTTGAAATTTTATCAAAGGTGATTTCCATGTGTCCATCAAAGAATCATGTTTTGGAGCCCAAAGTCAAATTTCCAGACATGCTGTGTACTGTAAGTCAATAGTTCCAGTTCTCGAGGGTTTTATTAGGATTAATGATAAATAATCTGGGTGTATTTAGACCAAAATTCTTTAATTTGTATGCATAAGCTGAAGTACTATATCGCCAGAAATTATTACATCTAAACAGTGACTGAGAACATATTGTTTTTTAATTGTTGTTGCTATTATTTGGCAGTTTCTTACAGTAGTAACATCCATAACCTATGTGCTATTAGCAAATTGCATATGGTTCTAACTGATTCTGAGTTCTTGCATGCGGAATGTGTTGTACTTAGCCACTCCCTCTTGCCCTTCACCCTCATACAAGTCCTAGGACTTAAATGAATGTTTTATCCATTTTGGGGTGCTGACTTGTAGTTGTCATATGGAATGTTGTCAGTTTTCACTATCAGAGTGGTTGCAGTCATATATTTATATATATAAACATTTCTGGTTGTTTGTAAGTGTAGAGCTGGATGCTTACATTTGAAGTATGTAATTAGGACTCACCATTTATATAATGAAGTCCTGTTTGAATCTCCATTTCCTAAATTTTGATGGTTCCATGGTGTTATCAACATGTAGCTTCATTTATGCAATTTAATTTCAGAAACAGTATATATTCATTTACCGAGCACTAATGGAGGTAGCACAGTTTGGAGACACTGAGTTAAAGGTAACAGAGCTGAAGAGTGCTGTAGAGAAACTGAGGCAGAGGGAAAATGGAAAAGATAGATGCAAGATGGAAGATGATTTTGAGGTATGCTTGTACTGCATCTCACATATTCTTCAAACCAAAGATTACCAACATACAAAAGTTGTTTCTTGTCATCATGCTTACATCTTTTGCCTTTGCATGCAATAGAACTATTAACCTTTTAGAGTATCATACAATTTTGGTTCACTTTCATTAGTAGTTTAAGAAAGGGGCTTTCTTCTCCACAAAAAAGAATCAAGTACCTCTCATAAGAAATTCCAAGAACAAAGGTAATTTCACTCTCTTACATAAGATTCCAAACTATAGCTACTATTTTTTTATCATAATGAAATGTAAAAATAGAAAGGACTAATAGCAGAACTAACAGTATTTGGCTAGTTTGATATTTAAGCTAGCAGGTATTGTAACACTGCTAGCCACACCTTACCCCTGCCCCCATTCTGGCCTAATTGACTGCAGACCAGAATCTTTACATAATGATGTACGAGGGGGTACCCAAAAGAAATGGAACTTATTTTTTTTAACTTATTTATTCAAATTTTAAGCACAAACCTTCACTCCCCTTCAAAGTACTCTCCAATTACACTAATACACTTGTCTAGTCTTTTATTCCATTTTTCAAAACATTGTCTAAATTCATCTTTTGAGATGCTTGACAGCGCCTCCGTCGTTTTTTCCTTCGCAACATCAGCAAAACGCTTTCCTTTCATGTGTCTTTTCATTCGAGGACTCGGGACTCTTCTTTCAAAGCACAGCATGCTTCCACGCGACCTTGTTTTTGTTCAGCAGTCAGCAGTCGTGGCACGAATTTCGCAGCCACCCTTTTCATTCCCAAATCTTCTGTCAAAATTCGCTGAACTGAGCTCCAAGTCACTCCCGACAGCTCCACAATTTCTTCAATGGTCCGTCGTCGATCTTCCTTGATGATTTCACGAATTTTTTCAACATTTTCATGTGTTCGGGCCGTGGAAGGACGACCAGAACGAGGTTTGTCATCAATTGACATTTCACCATTTTTGAAATGGGAAAACCACTCAAACACTTGAGTTTTCCCCATAGCATCGTCCTTGTACGCCGTTTTTAACATTTCAAGAGTTTCTGTTCCACTTTTCCCGAGCAAAAAGCAGAATTTCACCGCCGCACGCTGTTCACGAAAATCAGCCATTGCAAAAACGACGATCACACAAAACAGTTGTCACTATAAACTCTGCCAAAACTAGTCCTTACCTTCTGAAGCAATGGTAGTCGGCTTATCGACTCAGGAATGTTAGCTCTATGCGCTCATAGCGGCAAAACGCGGTACTACAAAAGCTCTGCACACAAAAAAATTAGTTCAGTTTCTTTTGGGTACCCCATTGTATGTACATTCTTAATCTACTTCTCCTCATAGCCACTGCCAGAATTGAGTCACTTATATTGGGGTATAAGTTATTGTATGCCTGTGTCAGAGAAGTCTGCCAGCTGTGAGCTCAGCCACATTTTGACACCTTCCATCAACTCCTCATTATTGGTGAATCATTATAATCGCAATCAGTTCTTCAGGTAGGTAAACAAGTGGTAGTTGCTCATAGCAAGATCAGGGCTGTAAGGAGGGTGATCAACTCCCAGTAGAAATGCTCCAACAGTGCTTGAGTGCAAGCAGATGTATACAGACATGCATTATAATGGAGGAGCACTACACCAGATGTTAACATTTCATGCCTCTTGTTCTGAATGGCCAGTGCTACATGGTGTTTTTAGTGTTTCACAATACACCTCTGTTTGCCATATTGACACACTTTTTTTGGCATTCTAGCATGAATCAATATGCATTCCGTCATATAGAGAAAATTTACATTTTACTAGCAATTAAGAGAATCTGTGAATAAAACCTTTGAGCTCCACTGAGCAAAATGAAGTGAGTGAATAACTGACTGACAGAGTCAACATACACGTGTTACAAAATTGAAGTACACTGGCGTTGCATCATATGCGCATTTAACTTATGTGAATTCAACCGTATGTGCTTGAAAAAAAATCCTGGATGTATGGTGAATGTTAGGTATACTGTTTTCCTTTTTATTCTTTCATTCTTCCATATCTCTCTCTCTTTCTCTCTTGTGTAATTAAAAGTAAAATTACTGTACATTTTACTTGTATGTGTCTTCTTCATCCACCTCTGTGGTCTAGTGGTCAGCGTTCTTGGCTACAGATCCAGAGGTCCGGGTTCGATTCCCGGTGCTACCAGATTTTTTTCGGAGAGGTAGTGTGTCTGGAACGGGGTCCACTCAGCCTCATGATGATAATTGAGGAGCTATTTCAAGGAAATAGCGGCTCCGGTCTAGAAAACCGAAATTAACGGCCATGGGGATTTGTTGCGCTGACCACGCAACACCCTCTATCCACAAAAGTTGGCACTAAGCTTTGCTGACAAGCAGCGGTCCCTCGGTCGGTATAGTTCACTTGCAGACTGAAATCACGGAGAGTGCCTTCTATATTATGCACATACATATTACAAAGTAGATACAAAAGCACATACTTCATGGTTGATATAAAGGATTTTCAGAGGTAAGTCTGGGTTTACAATTCAGGATTTATGCACCATCTTTAGAACATAACCCCTGTGCAAGATGTAACTTCACTGTATGCCATGTCCTAAACATGAACATATAAGCAGTGACATGCATAACTATACAAAGCAGGCAAGCTGCAGACTCCTGTTATGAACTAATTCCTAAGTAGTCAGCATTTTTTATGTCATTCAAAAATTGCAAGTGATTGAAAAATTATATTTTCCATTTCATAGCCAGCAGATCACATAAATATCTGTGTGACATCAGCTTTGTTGCAACCAGTGTAGTTATCTTCACAATGCAGTCACTGCAACATAGATCTGTATAGCTGATTAAGTATTGATAATCTGCCAGGCAATTATTTCTTCCAGAAAATCAATCGTGTGGTTGAAGATCGCAAATCATTCTCAGTTGGAGGTGGAGAGGAGAATCGAAACAAGAATCGCAGTGAACTCGTTATACCATATGATAGGAACCGTGTGATCCTCACTCCTGTTCCAGGACGAGAACATTCCACCTACATCAATGCATCATTTATTGAAGTAAGTTTGTGAATGAAGAATACCTTACTCACTTTTATATGAAAAATGGGTACAGAGGAATCCATACCTATACCTGAATTTAGAGGTACACTTTTAGTTTCATATTTGTTATATTTTTAAATGCATTATAAATTGATGAGCTATAAAATTGTACTTCTCATTCCTTTCCTTTCCTCTGTGGCCTTTAGTCCACAAGCGAACTATACCGACCAAGCGACCACTGCTTGTCGGTGAAGTTAGTGCCAACTTTTGTGGATAGAGGGTGTTGTGTGGTCAGTGCAATGGATTCCCATGGCCGTAAATCTCGGTTTTCTTGACCAGAACTTCTCATTTTAGGTTTAGAAATATTTTTCTGTCTTATTTTAGGCTTCATAGTGCAGAAGTGTTTTTCTCATGAACCTAACTCTGGCAGACACTAATTGTGTTTGCTGTTACACGGTATAGAATGCTAAGCCATGCTTTTCGGAAGATTCTTAATGTGATGCACATGCTGTGAGTACCAGTGTCTTCTCCCCTGTACCTTATCCTCTTCATTGTGTCTGTTTATTTCCAGTTAAATCCATTACACTTGAGTGTGTCAGAGATCTTGGGGTTTGTGAGATTTGAGTATCTTATAGTGATGACTGTGAAGTGTGCTGTCATCTGTAATGATAGAACTGTGGTCTGGTACAAGTTTATCAGTGTTTCAGAGACCCTGTCTTCCAGGCTGAAGGGTAATAATCCACGCAAGCAAATTCTGCTTGTTGCATGTTGGCTTGGCTTATTATTTGACCTTGAAGATGAAAGCTGTATATTCCTCTAAAATGTTAGTGAACTTCTGCTAGACTGCATGGCATAACATCTCGGAAGACAATACTCTTCTTATGGGGGTTCCTTCGTTGTATTTCCTTTAGAGTAGGTGCAGTAAACTATACAGTCTGCTGGTCACAGTAGCCGAGCAGTGTCAGGCATGCACTGTCTTCGCTCGCTCGGAAGCCAAGATCGTGGGTTCGAATCCCACTCAGGGCATGGATGTTTGTGTGTGTTTTTCTGTGTTTGTCTACAGGTAGAGGCCTTGCGACAAGCTGATCACTTGTCCAAGGAGTCCTACCGAATGTGTAAGATCTAGAAAAACCGAAATGAACGGAGTTCATGGAGGTAGGTCTAGGCCCACTGGGGCTGTAGTGCCAAGGAAAAAAAAACTATACAGCCTGGATATGTGGGTAAGGCCTTTGTGTATAATGGCATACATGTCAGTTAATTCAAATTTATGCATACATGTCTCAAGTGTAGAAGGCTTGAATAGGATGAGCACGACCTATTCCTTGTCTCCATAGATCCCTGAACTTACTCCATGCAACTTCTACCTGTGGGATATGTTAAAGACCAGGTACGCCAACCTCCAGTTCCACAGATCCTGCCAGAGCGAATTTCACAGGCCATAACTAGAGTTGATGAGTCACATTTGCAGCATATATGTGAAGAATTTGAGTATCCATTGAAATTTGTAGAGCAACTAGTGGAGCAAAAACCAAACATTTCTAAGACAGTGGTTTTGATGCTGTTTTCAAATGTTTTCATGTTTGTATTTGTAACCATTTCAAAAATATACTAATATCTTATTACCCAAATAATTTATAATAGTCCTGTATTAGATGTGACAAATTATTAGAAGTTGTCTGACAGTATTGATGGCTTTGTACCTTGAAGTATCTGAGGATCTGTTTCTAACATTGTCTGTATGTGTTCATTGGTCACATAATTCAACTTAAACCTTTCACTTATACAGGGTTATGATAATTCTGAGTCTTTCATCATCACTCAAGACCCACTTGAGTCTACAATAGCAGACTTCTGGCGCATGGTTTCTGAACAGAGTATCACCACACTAGTCATGCTCTCTGATGTATGTATCGCACTTGCTCATCTATCTGAATGTCCCATCAGTTCAGGAGAGAATTTGGTCCAAAATTAAAATTAGGTTGGAGGTATCATGTAGTTAAAATCACAGAATGAAAGAAGGCATTTAATGGGCTGAGAGATCTAAAGATAAAACTGTTGAAGACCATAGACTGCCTAGTTTATGTGTGCATGCATGTATAATAATATATCTCTCCCCTTTGTAAGTCAATTAAATATTTTGTTTTTATCTTTACGTCATGTGGATTGCTTAAGAAAATGGAATTATTGCTTTCAGGTATGTTTTTGTTTACACTGGAAAAACTGATTGTACTTTGGAAGATTATTTTGTTCAGTGAAAAACTATCAGGAATAATGTGATAATACTTGGTAGATTCTATGACATGTCTTTGCAAGTTCGCTTATGTGTGACTCACTGTGGAATGTAATGGAAACTTGTGATATGAAACTTCATGTCAGGTAATGAACACACAAACACACCATTATTTTTGCATTTCCAGTTGGGTGATGGATCAAAGAAATGTATCCGATATTGGCCGGATGATGAGATTAGTCTTGAACATATTCATGTGAAATATATTCAGAGTGAGAGTTGTCCATATTACACACGAAGAGAATTGTGCGTAACGAACACAAAGGTAAGTTTAATAATTGACTGATTTTGTTGGATATTCTTAAATAACCTCTCCCCAGTCCTAAAGCATTATGTAAAAGCAGTTTTCTGCATTAACTGCATTGATACAAGTATTATTGCGCTGCAATGATGGTGTTATATTTTTAGAATGAGATATTGACCATTCATGATATCTTTTTGAGTGAATATCCTGTTATAATTTAACATTAAAAATTATATTTTCATAATTTAGTTCAACATCATAGATTTGTCTCCAGGCAGGAGTTTTGTAGCATCAAAGTGTTAGTGCTGTTCTATTGGGCTCATGTTCCTTTCAAACACTTGCACTGATCACATTGTGTCCTGATTCTTGTATTGTCATAATTAAAATTTAGTCTCTTATATTTACTTCATTTATATCAATGCACATATCACAGAATTATTTAAAAGGTTTAAAACAGAGAACAGACTTACTGATAATTTGGGCAGTTATATCATTACATACAGTAGTGTGCAAATTAATTAGGACAAGCATTTATTTTGGTAAAAATCAAGTTCAGTTGTTTTCAGATAGTCAAAACCAGGTTGTTTACATTGGGTTTCTGTGAACACATGACCTTGACTAATAGGAACCTGTTCTGACAGAAGAGATTGCCACTTCATCAGTTAACAGCTTGTGCCTTTCACATGTGCATATTGATTTTGAACCCTGGGATAATTTTTGTTTTTACTAGTGCGAGAATGGACATTACTCTGAAGAAACGGACAGAACTTGTTCCTCTTAATGAATACATATTGATGACTGTGAGAGACATTGCCACTGTTGGTGTGGGAAAATCAGTGTGTCAAGAATTCTTTGTGCGTTCAAGGATTCTGGATCACTTTCTCCAAACAGAAAAGGAAAATGCAGAAGAACATGAAAAACCATTCGTACTGATCCGCTTCTATGGACAAACAGTAGATCACATCCAACACTGACAAATAAGGACCTTCAGAAACTTCAGGGATTGATATTGATGCTTTAACTGTACAGCTTAGGTTTCTTGAAGTTGGGCACAAGACAAGAAAACCAATCAAAAAGCAATTATTTACACCTGCTATGAAGCAGAAATAGTTGGCATTGGCACATAAGTATAAATTGTGGACAAATGATGACTGAAAATAGTGGTTTTCAGTGATGATTCACATTTATATATTCAAAGTTACAGAGCAAATGTCAGATGAATCAGTGAGAGCAGATCATCTTCAGCAGACTGTAAAGTACGAAGAACATTCTCTATATATATGCCTCCTATTTTTTTAATGAAAACTACAACAGATACAGAAAGCATAATAACGAAGTTAAATAAAGCAAGATTTCAGCTACTTACAGTTATTTTTCCACATAATCACCACCATTCGTTATGCACTTTTTCCAGCGATGAACAAGAGCCTGTATACCGCGCCCGTAAAAGTCTATGCCAGCAGAGGCTAGCCAATTTCTTTCAGCTGCAATGACAGCAGCGTTGTCTGGAAAATGTTGCCCATGTAGTCCATCTTTCATAGGGCCAAAGAGATGGAAGTCTGAAGGTGCTAAATCGGGGTTGTAAGGTGGATGTGGTAGGACAGTCCAGCCAAACTTTGCAGTGTGTGCACTGGTCGCCAAACTGGTATGGGGTCTAGCCTTACCGTGTTGCAAGCGAAAGGTTATCTGCTTCTCTGGCCTGACTTGGGAAATGCGGGCTTTCAGCTTAGTCACCGTCATCTTGTAGCATTCAGAATTGATAGTCTCACCAGGCTCCAGGAAATCTAAGAAAATCACACCCCATCTATCCCAAAAGACCATGCACATCACTTTCCCTGCCGATGGCTGTGTCTTGAACTTCTTTTTTTCTTGGGGAATCCAGATATCACCACTCCATGGACTGTCTTTTGGATTCCAGCTTGTAGTGGTGACACCACATCTCATCTCCAGTGATGATGATGTCCAGAAACTTGTCACCTTCAGCCTCAAACTTGTGCAACAGGTCCTGACAGACTTTCATTCAATGAGTTTTGTGGTCCTGTGTAAGCATCCTTGGGACCCACCTGGAACAAACATTGCGATAATCCAGCTTCCCCAAAATCGTTTCTAATGCATTAAAGTTGATATTAAGCCCTGCACACAGTTCCCTGCACTACCCACCGCCTCACTATGCTGACATCCACTGTATCATCTCCATACACCTTTAGCAGGCGTCGATGGATGTCAGTGGGTGCAGTTTATTCGGCAGTGAGAAATTCAATAACACATCTCTGTTTTATACGCACTTCTATGTCAGACGCCATTTTGGTAGACTGCTCTTCTGTTGCTATCTGTTGCATGAAAACCAAACTAACAGTACATTGGCGGGAAGGTTCAACCTCTACTACAACACCACCAACATCCAGCTCAGATGTTACAGATTAACACAATGCCCTTTGTACCTTCCAAAAAATGTTTTGGGGGTTTTTCACTGCAGTTGCTCCTGGCAGTCTAGTTCCAGTTGATGGTATGATGAATTCAACAAAGTGCCTCAGAATCCTGTGTAAAGTTTTACCATTCCTGCGGACCTTTGCAGATGGTAAAGTGACATTTCAACACGACCTTCTGCCATGACACAATTCAAAAGTAATCAAGAAAACAAAATCAGCATGCTCCATTATCCTCATAATTCTCGAGACATGAACCCAATCGGAAATTTGTGGAACATACTGAAAAAAAAAGTCTGGGTAAAATGGACTATTCAGCTAAAGAACATGTGGTAACAAACATGATAAAAGTGTGGTTCTGTGACAGTGGAGTGAAAAACGTTTGCTCTAAACTGGTTGAGTCAATGCCAAAACGTGTCCAGGAAGTCATTTTAGCGAAAGGAGGACATGTTTCATACTAAATTATATGAGAGAATTGTATTTTAAGGTTTAGAATAAACAAATGTCAAAAATTTAGTTTTTTTCATTTTGCCCCAGTTAATTTGCACACTACTATAGCTCTGCATATTGTAGCATATGCATGTAAACGGTACTTCCCCTGTTATCTGTATAGATGTAAGGAAATTCATGCCTGTGGACTCCACCATGAGCATTGAGATGGTGGCCCTTGATAAAATTTTGACCATTGCATAATTTTGCAGGAAATGCAGTTAATATTAGTGTGATATGAGTGGGTGGGTAGGCCTAAAGGTTCATCCACATCTGAAACTTTATGCAGCTGGGAATGCAATAAGGTAACCTGGGTGAGTTGGCTGTGCGAATGGTGTTTGCATGCTCATCACAGAACCTTCATTGTGCATGTTAATCAGGGTGTATATTTTAATTTTCTCCTTTCATTTCATTTGAAAGTGGCACTCCATACGTTTAATCAGCATAACAAACAGACCACTTTGCTCTCTCCGATTCTAGCTAATTGTTTACAAAATGTTCTTTAGATGGGCCAGGTATCTAAATGTAAACGTAGAGAACAAGACGGACACACAACTCAGTTATCATCCCCCTAAGTACTTGCACTGTGGCAAGTATTCACTACACATGCCCCTCCAAAATATTTCTTGTGATTTTCAGCGGTCAACGGGAGTTGAGACACATTGGCTACTGGGATAAATTTGATATGTGTTTGTCTTTATGCTTACCACATAACATTAAACACAATAAATTCTGGTTTCTCTGGGTAACATCACATACATGGATTGAATAGCTTTCATCCTTGCGTTTCAGACTGATGAAAATGTGGTGGTGACCCAGTTCCAGTACAATGGGTGGCCAACAGTAGAGGGTGAAGTTCCAGAGGTCACAAGAGGACTAATTGAATTGGTTGATCAGACCCAGAATCATCAAGAAGCTCATGGTGGTTCAGGTCCTATTGCTGTACATTGCAAGTGAGTTGACATTAAGTTCATAACATAACCTAAAATATGTACTACAGTTATTTAATCCTAATCATCCATGCATCACATTGTGACAGCGCATGTGTAAGCCGAGCAGGCCTAGTGTCTCATTTATTTCAGTATAAATACAACTGCCACTGGCCTCCCACGCTCTAGTAGCAGAAGATCTAAGTGTCTGTTCCAGAATAATAAAGGTTAATGTTTGCTACCACATTTATTACACTCTATATTGGTGCTGATGCCATATTTAATGCTGAACATAATTTGAAATCTCTACATAGATGATCAAAACAATTCACCTAAATGTGTTGCACCACTGTTCTCTCCGGGGAGCATAGGAAACTGTTGGTCCAAACTGTAGTAACACTCATTTCTTGTTGCTCCGCTTCATGTGGTATGATTGTGTCCTAAACGTGGAGGTGGTGCTACTTTTCCATAACTTACATTTACTCCATTATTATAGTTGCGGCTCCGATCGTAGCTCCATGTTTGTTGCATTAAGCATTTTGGTGCAACAGCTGCATACAGAGAAAAGAGTTGATATCTTCACTGCAACACGGAAGCTGAGATCACAGCGCCATGGAATGTTGCAGACATTTGTAAGTAGTGATGAAATTAGGAATTAGAGCAAAACTTCTCCTTGCATGTCATCCAGAACCTGTATTTTTATATTTAGTAATTCATACGCACAAACTCGATCATCCATTGTTTCATTTCCCATAGAAGAAAGTCACTTTCTTTCAACACACAATTTGAACAGGTGAGTCTATCATGGAGAAATAAGTGTGTGTGGTATTTAGATGAACATGCTGAGAAGTTCATTCCTTCATTTGCAGTCCTGTTACTGTATCTTTTTAGAGTGGGACACTGGCTGGTGGTGGCTTCTGTCCAATAAAATGGCAACTGACTATCACATGGATATAATTGGAGGTCCTGTCTGTGCTCAGTATTTTCAGCAAAGCCACTTTACTCACCAGAGTTTATTGGACAGTTTGCCACCAGCTGGGGAATGGAGGGGTGTTATCAAATACTGCAGCAACATAACACAGCTCATTATTGTACCAACACCCCACATCATATGGTGGATCACTAGTGCCAGTCTGAGAGGAGAAAGCTTAGTAAAATTCGCTTAGTGGGGGGTGGAGTCCAACTGGGTCCACTCGGCACGGCGGCCACTGATTGGCCTATTGTAGCCTGCCCTGGGTGATTATGATGATGGAGAATTTGGTGGAATGACAATTGGCAAGGGAAAGTGAAGTACTTGGAGGAAACCCGCCCCAGTGTCACTTTGTCCACCACAAATCCCACTTGACCAGACCCCGGGATCGAACCCGGGCCATCGCAATGGGAAGCCAGCGACTAACCGCTTGAGCTCTGGCACAGCCTAAGCTTAGTAGAATATTTGGTGCATTCCAACCTGACTGTTTGTCAAACTACGTAATGAACTTCCTCTGTATCCCTGCAGTACAAAGGAGGTTATTGACTAATATGGCACTAGCTAAAGCTAGTTTAATGGACCCAAAGAGAACCAACTAGTAAACATGTGAAACCTTAAGGTAAATCTGAGGACCATGTCACAAAGCATTTGTTTGGTGTGAGATGTATATCTGACTATCTGGTGCAACAAGTAATTAATTCATCTTATCACCAGAATTGTTTAGTCAGGATCACTCACATATCAAGGAATATGTGCTGGTCGACTAATGTGTTGGGTGGGCTGAGGCTGAAAACAAGAAGGCTGTACAACAGCACAAAACAGACAGGGGATTCGGACGTCTTTAAATAGGAGAAAAAGGATCCTTTTCACTTGGTCATTAGACAGAACCAGCCTTAATCACCACTCGTGAGGGAAGTTCTAATCAGCCTGAAAATTTTGTACCATTATGTGTCACGTGTGTGATACAGAGATAAAAGCAGGAACTAAAACATCAGAATTATCTCTTGACATCCAATGTTACCAGTGACAGTAAAGCCTATAGACATTTTATAATCAGAATATTACTTCATGTCTTGTAGCAGAGGGAGCCATATGATGCTGATGCTGATGCTGACATGTATGCTTGGTTGACTGATCACCGGTTCTACTGTTTTGATGAAGACATTCGTTTTGTGTTTCACGATGTTGCTGTTTTCTTCAGTGTATAATATGAGGCATATCCACAAAATAAGTTCCATTTGCAGATATTAGCGCTGTGTACACAATGGTGCATATGCATGCAGAGTTTGTTGGTCCTGTGGGAAGGCATGGATGCCATTTGTAAGCAGTCAGTCCATGGTTACACATCTTCGTGTGTGTTTACGATGTTTAGTAAAACTGAGAAGCCTACCATGTGTGAAATGCAGTCTGTGATCCATTCCTTGAATGCAAGAAACATGAAACCGGCTGACATTCATCATCAACTTTGTGAGGTGTATGGAGAACATGCCAAGTGATTCAGTGTTACAGTTACTTTAGTGAAAGACACAAAAATGTGCATGATGATCCGCAGAGCGGCTAACCATCTCTGATTAATGAAGATTCGGTGTACACAGTGGAAGAGAAGATCCAAGAGAACAGACAATTCACCATTTCATCACTTTCCCTGCGTCTTCCACAAATTTCACAGTCACTACGTGATGAAGTTGTGTCTGATAAACTTCATTTTCAGAAGTTATGTTCACACTGGCTGCTGAAGATGCTTATGGAAGAACACAAAATGAAACAGCAAGCCATTGTGTTGACCAAACTTCATTTTCAGAAGTTATGTTCACACTGGCTGCTGAAGATGCTTATGGAAGAACACAAAATGAAACAGCAAGCCATTGTGTTGACCTTTCTGACATGATACACTGAGCAAGGAGGTGACTTCTTAAGGTGCATAGCCACGGTATGAGACCTGGGTGTCACACGTAACCCCTGAATCGATGCAGCAGTCCATGAAGCGGAGGCACACATCATTGCAAATTAAGAAAAAATTCAGACAGACCATTTCAGCTCACAAGATCATGCCCACATTGTTTTGGGACAGAAAACACGTTCTGCTTGTGAATTCTTGCCTCAGGGCTCAACAAACAATGCAGGTGTGTATTGCGACACACTTAAGAAATTGCGTTGTGTGATCCAGAACAAGTGACATGATATGCTTAGTCAGGGTGTTCTGATGCTTCATGACAATGCCCACCCACACACTCCTGCCACAACACAAGATCTCATCACAACATTTGGTTGTGAACAATTTGATCATCCTCCCTACAGCCCAGACATAGTGTCAAGTGATTTTCATGTGTTCCTGCATCTGAAAGATTTCCTTTGTGGCCAGCAGTTCCACAACAGCGAGGTCAAAGAAGCCGTTAACACACGGCTTGCATTGCAGGCAGCATCATTCTGTGATGCAGGGATACAAAATCTGGTGCCCATCTATGACAAGTGTCTCAGCAATAGTAGAAACAGTGTCGAAAAGTAGTGTACAGTGTGTACATCAAATAGCAATATAAATGGTTTGGAAATAAATTACTATATTTTTCAGTAGATCATCAGAACTTACTTTCTGGATAACCCTTGTATTTGTGTCTTGTCCTGTTGTATTCTGTGATCCTCTTCCCAGGAGTGTTATGCTATTTTATATTTGATTATTTTTCCATTTTTATATGCTGACTGGTCCCTGGTATTTTTTGACATGAAAATTCACAGCAGTTAACTGTGCCACAGATGGTTCATATCAGAAGTACAGGAACCAAGAAACAACACTGCACTACTCGTATAATGCTAGCTATCACAGCTGAGAGACAGAAGTTGCTTCCTTATGTTGTATTTAAACACATGACAGTGGCACAGGAGAAGTTCCTTCAAGGAATTATAGTATGTGTCCAGTAAAGTGGCCAGTTAACTTAACATCTAGTGAAAGGCTGGATTAAGTCTGTATTGTTTCACTGACCAGGCACACTCTTATGCCAGCAATCCATGCTGATTTTAAACATTTTATGGGGCCATACCACAGAAAATGTGAAGACCCAAGAGCAGTGAGAGAGGTGTGCCCTTGTAATCATACCAAGAGACATGACCTCGATGTTGTAGCCACACAACCCAATCATTTGGCATTAGAAATTGTAGATTTGACATTCATAGAGTAAATGTGTGCAGAAAGCACATAAGACACTGCTGACAGAAATATGCTGGTGGATTCTTGAAGCCTGGCAATCTATTTCACAAGATATGATGGTGAAAATCTTTGAAGTTATTGGCATCTCTAACAAGATGGACAGAAGTGAGGACCATTTCCTATGGCCTTAGTCCAGCAAAGAAAGCTTCCATCACTGCTGGTAGTGAAAAACAGTGTGTATTTTGATTAAAAGTAGTTAATTATAATATCTCCCCCCTTTTTTTACTGAAGTAATTAGTTTTGTAGTTATATGACTGATTGTAGAGAGAAAGTGCTACCAACAAATAACTCTGTGTATGCATGCTAAACTGTATGAGGATCTAGCTGAGGTGTCTGTAATTTCATGCTGTTAATTAGTGGTGTCTCAATGAGCAGGGCTGTACATTGTTTCTGAGGTGGAAGTGCATGTTTTACATAAATATCAAACTTAAATGTAATTTAGTTAGCAGATTATTCATCCTCTTTCCTGGTGTACTTGATTGGTGGATAAATTTTTTCTGTGTAGAAGCACACTTCCACTGTTCAGAAGTATTGTTCCCTGTACCCATTCATGAGCTACCATCATTCATGTCAGTTTACTGTGTTTGTTTCAGAGCAGAATTGATACAATAGTAAGTGGTCTGTTTACTTTTTTTCTGGCAGGCTCAGTATGAATTCCTGCACCGTGCCATTGTAAATTATGCAGACCTCCATCACCTTACAGAAGATCCAGCCTAGGCTGTGATAAACATCAAGTTGCATTCCATCAAGATGAGTCAAACCAGGCTCTGAATTTGAACTCCTGCTGAGCCATGTTGTTGAACTCTGCTTAGTTAATCTGTTGACTTCCACTTTTCAGCTGTTTGATTACTGAAGTGTCAGCTGAGTGCCTGTGTATGTGTGTTTAACACACAGTTGTACATAACAGTAACTGAATATGTGCAATCACATTTGGGGCATGGACATATATATATATATAAAATGGACACGTGTTATGGATAACATTGTGCCAGCAGTGACTCAATTTTATCATGCCAAATTCATAGCTGGAACAAATTACTCACCATCACGTATGCTAAATACTTGTGGATTGTATTCCGATTGGCTTGTCTCATGCACGAGTATGTCAGAAAATTGTAGCATTTCATTCTTTGTACCTTAAGCTGCTGTCTCAGTCATGATGGTCTTTGTGATATGCAAACATCTTCACATACATGTCTGTGTATGTCCTCACTGTCGTGTGTTTGCAGTGTTATACAACATGGCAGACACTCAGCACCTACTTGAAGATGCCCACCCATTTTATTATTCATTGTGACTTGTCATGTATTGTGTGGTTCTCAGTTTAGTGTCTTGGTTCAGTTCTGTCTGATAATGTACAACATGTAAAACATAACATAGATCTGTTAACATCATGTCCAAGAAGTAATATGTGAGTTGGCCTTGAAGTAGGTGTTAATTGAAATGTTTGAGGGAGAAATTCAGAAAGGTTAATGAACTTTTATCACGGATATCTGCTGTACTGCATTTCATGTTGCAACTAATCAAGCCCCCTGAAAACTTATATACTTAGGCCAAGCCATATTCTTTCATTCACTGATTGAAATCAGGATGAATTTTGAAGGTATTCAAAGTGATATAAATAATGTGAATTACTACTGGTTTATGGGCCTCCAAGTTTTTATGCTCGTTTCTTAAATCAGGCTCCAAGACTGTTACACTCAGGCTCCACACTACTTGAAGGATAAGTTTATAACAAAAAAAAAATCAGTATCAGCAGAATGGAGCTCTTGCAGAACTTAAGCAAAACCATTTTGACTTGAAGCATTTTAATCCAAAAAGAAAAGTAAGAAAACGCTATTTACTACCTTCAACCATGTAAATTTGTTTATAAAGCAAATGGCAAGTTAATCATGTGCTTGACATTTGATTAGCGGTATTTCCAGTTTTTAAATAATTAGTATTTTAATGTTTATGGAAAAATGACTTTGATAAGAATATATACGACATTTTATATACACACTGTATGATACTCTTAGTTTGAAAGACTGTCAGATTCAGTTACTGTGAAGTTTATTTTTTATATCAGATAATGTTGGTACTAATTTCTAAAAATATCAGTATTTTCTATTTATAATCTCATCAGCATAGCTAGATAGTGCCAGTCTTTTAGTGTTAGTAATATATTGCCATTATGTTGTTCTCACTGCATTAAAAGAGACGCTTTCAAAGAAGTGATTAATTTAAGGATGGAAGAATGAAGGACTCTATTGTGTTTACTGACTGCAGTAAAAGGGGAGGATCAGGTTGTGGATCAAAACATAATTAAAGTACAGGTTATCTAAGCTTTCAGTATTTTTACAGTTTATTGTTATGGGATAAAATTTTAAACACTCGGAAGTGTGCATTTATTACACACAGGATGCTTTGTATATTTAGTATTATGATAGCAGTACGTTCAGTATAGAAAGTATATGTAGGGCGAGGGCACATCAGAGAAACTGGCAACTGCATTTTCTAAGAAATGTCACCAATTTCAAGCATGCAACAGAACGGGAAAATAAAAACATTTGGTGCATCCGTTCTCCTGTGACAGTTTAAACTCAGGTTCTTATATTCACTTGTTTCGAAAGAACTTAACCAGGATCTGGACTCCTTCATCCCATGAGAAGTTCTTTCCCAAGTCTATTTTGTCCTGCCTTACATAGTCTGGATGACATTTGTCATATATACCAGGCTCCAGCTCAATTAACTTTGCTACTACAGGACTGTGAGAAGACTGGCTTGCTTAGTTGCCTGGTAGTTGAGTTTTTTAGTCTTCCACGAGTTTCGTTGTAATCGCATTGGCATTTCCTTGGTTTGCATTCCTTAGTTCAGTTCTCTGTGTTCAGCTCAGTCTGAGGATGATTCTCAGAAATTGTGGTTGCCAGTTCCTGTGGTATGCCCTTGCCCTTAGATTTTTGTAGTTATCATTTTGATACAAAATTATACATATACTTAGAAACACAAGAGTTCCTAATTCAGTGAAATAAAACTCAGTCAGACCTGTACTTTGTGTGATGGATAAGAAAGTTAGGTGGTTTTGTAGAAACTTTTAGTTTATTCCACTGTGTTCAGCATATTTTATGACATAACAGATCTGAAGCCTGCGATTCCCATCTTCTCATTTTCTTTTACTGGATTCTTTCCATAGAAACAGTTTTGTTTTTTATCACTTTTCCCTATGTAGTTTCCATTTTTATTGTACTGGCTTCTCTCGCCAAAACAGACATGTTAACTCAGCATAATTTTATGTCCCTCACATTGTTCAAGGAGTACAGACCATGACAGAATCTTATTGTGTGAACAAATTAATTCATGAGTCATGATATTCAGTCAGAATGTGTCATCAACTGATGCTGTATTTGTGCTGCTGACTGATATCTGGTCCTTCCCTTACGAACTTAATTTCATAAGCATTGGTTTTTGTTTGTTACTTAGGCTTTATATTGTGAGTGTTAGCAGGCCTGGCAAGGTGGTCACCATATGCATGCATGAGTTCAGGCAGATAATATCACAGATGGTCAAAGTAAATGTTTGGTTTCAGGTTTAGACTCTCCTTGTTCATGTGGAGTTGCACCAGGCAAGTTTTGTTAAAATCTTGTGAATTCTGTAATCTAGTCATTGCAGGGTGCATCAGCACTTGCCTCCAGAACAGAAAGTGAAAGTCAAAACAATATCCTCTTAATCAGTATGGACTAATGAAAACTATGAATTTCAGCTTAAAATAAACTTAGTATGTCACAAAATGTAATCTCAGGTTCTGTTTAACTCTCATGTTATTGTGGTTGACATGTACGTGCAACATTTGGAGGAGTGATCAGCATTTTAATAACTTCCTTTGTTCTGTTTAACAGAATTTTGAAAATTTGCATTTTTACCAGAATGTTACCATGCTATGCTACAGTGTTATGGTACTTGTTTTATTGTGTCTTTATTATGAAGTAATATGAATTTAGTTATGTATGTGAATACAGTGCTCAAGAAGGATATATGATACAGTTGCAAGTAATTTTGTCTTATCACACCTGAGAAAAGGTGCAGTGGTCTAGGAAATTTAGAGTTTTCCATGGAAGTAGATGAAACACAGACTCATCACTGGGTTAATTAGGCCAGAAGTTCAGTATTCAGTTTATTCCTTTTCTAACTGTGTCAGAAGAATAATATATGTATCTTTAAAGGTCAAGTCCATACCAGTTTATTGTGCCATTTCCCACCATCAGGAAGGCCTGTGTCAAGTAAATGGGTTGCACTAAAGATGTTGGTGTAATTAATGCTAAGTTAGGACATAATTAAACAAGGCAAGTAGAGACATCTCAAAGTGTTGGAATTATGGCAGCAAACTGGAACATACAACATTAAAAAAGTTGATCAATTTGCTGACAAGTGGCAGTCGCTCAGTCGGTATAGTTTGGTTTCAGACTCCAGGCTTCGGAGTTGGTTAGATCAAAGTGTTGGTATAAGATGAACTCTGTTCAGATATAATTTTCTTGACAGCAAAATGTAATTTTTTACAGCCAGTTGCAGAAACAAATCCTAATGCCACCCTCAGAATCAGTGAATCTTTGAATGATACTTGTTTTATATTGTTGCAACTTCAAAGGTCTCGTTGCTGTGTGAGAAGATTCCAGTGACATATGCAACTAATCATATTAATATTCATTGGATTTGTTTCTGAAGAAGCCCTAGTTTCATCTAATTTTTCTTCCATACTGTTTCCCATCGGTTCTGTCCAACACTCATCTTTTACTACAAAACGTTTTTACCAATCAGTACATCGACTTGTCAAGACCATCAGCCAAGAAGTTTTTATGGCATATTCTATGAAGTGACTTTTTGTTGCATATTTAGACTAAGAAATCACATTGCTCGATACCATATACCATATTCTCGGTATCAGTCCACTACAAGGAAAAGAGCAACTGATTTGGTTATTATCCTGTGTAAGACTCACTGGAAGGGCATATGACAATTATGCTTCCACCAAATTACTCTTGGCATGCACATTCGCAGTGTCATAAGTTGAAAACCGTGTATATAATGACTACTGCAGGATGTAATTGGTGACCATATTATATTGCCTTGTATTACCAGTATGAAAATGTGGGGTTTCTTTAATATGGGAAACTTGTGTGCACATCCTATTATGTAAACTCCATATTTTTATAACTTTGTGCAAGTAATCTCACAGTTGTCATGTGCACACTGCTGAAAACCGAAGTGAATTATATTCATATATTTATAAGTTCCACATTTCCTAGTATTTAGATTTTAGTATCAGCAGTATATGAGTTAAGAAATTTTGTATATTATTACATTTGACACTATCTAATTTTTGATAAGCTACAAAATAAAACAACTAACATTATATGTTCAATGCAGTAATTAATTCAGTGTTAACTTTTTTTCACATGCCTTAATTTCTGTGAGTATAAAAAAAAAGGACATTCCTTGTGTACTGGAACCTAGTTGAAATAAAATGATATTTCTTATGTTGGGTTATTAATCACTTATTTATTATTCACTTGTTTAGAGTTGTGTGTTTATTCAGAAAGTTTGTTTCAGCAGCTTGTTCTCCTGTTCATTAGCCCATTGTTTTGCTTGTGTGTTGTTCCCTCTAGTAGCATGTGGTGCTGTCTTCACTGCTGAATAAACACATAACTCTAAACAAGTGGACGACACCCCTTATGAGGTGGAATAGGATTTTACGAAAAATTTTAATGGATTTTAAGCAATAATTTATTTGTAAGATTTGAGGCTTTCACAGCGGTGACTATGAAGAAAGCAGTCTTCTGGGATTTGGCACCGTGTATATGTGGTGTTAACCGACGTTTCGGAGGAACGTCAGTTAACACCACATATACACCCCAGAAGACTGCTTTCTTCAATAATTTTATTTTAAGTAGACTGCAACATGTGATGTTAGCGCACTTCAGGACAGTGTAAGGGTTGGATACATTAAAACACCTGAAGATGGCCATCTAGGGCCGAAACATGTTGTGCCGAGTGTTAAATGGTGAATAAAACAATTGTTGCATTATAGATGGACCATGAATGCATAGACGTTTGGTTAAAGATTTGCAACAGGATGCTGAAATGCAGAATTATTTCTTGTGACATGCTATGAATACTACAGTATGGATGGGTATCCATTTAATGAACTGGCAGATATGAATCTTATATATGTGACTATGAAAATAGCAATGGTGAGAAGACTGTACATCTGCCAGGAAATGTTTCCACACTGACGCCATCTAGCACTAGGCGGAGGTGAGTGGTGAGCTTCATCCCCAGATATCCTATTCGATAGAAGGCTATATATGTACAGTTCTGTGATTGATACCAAATAGCTAACTGGCAATATTTTGCATATACATAATTGAAGTAACACCAAAATCCGACATTTTGACGTCGCTAATGTGCAGCTTCTTGTTTTTTGCTTGGCTTATTCTTCGACACTAAATATCGCTGAAGATGGAACAGCATGTTCCTCCATGATGTCAGCTGACTCCACAGCCTGCACGGTGTTATATCCCAGAAGCCCAGAAAATAGAATTCATCATAAACGCCACTGTGAGAACCTTGAGTTCTACATCACTAATGCATGTTAGAGCTCCTTAGGCGTCCTTGGGCTCGTTTTGGCTTCTCTACATTGTCCTCCATCAGATTCATCAGAATTGGGTTACATATCTATACTTCATAATGTTATATTTTAGCGTCCTGTTGCACTGATTTAAGTCCATGATTTATTTCACCGTCTTTTAGTGCATACACTTATCTACCTCATTCCTTTCTCCTGCACTACATGTTTCGGCACAAAAGTGCCATCTTCAGGTGCTTATTCGATTAACGTTAAACTAGTTCACTGCATGCCTTGTCTTCATATTAAAAATATTAAAATTGTTCAGGATTTTCCTACGTCGTATCTCACTTCTCGAGTCACCTCTAATCTCTTCTGTCGGAGCACTCTTTCTATTATCTTGTGTGTATTGTGCTTTATGTTGTCTTGCTCCTGTGACTGCGTGTGTATATGATAAATATATATTTTAATTATTTTAATATGNGCAGTACAAGAGATTTGGTGGTGAAAGTATTTATTGCTATTCTAGCGAACAACGCATTCCGGGGGAGGGGGGAAGCTCCCAACAGCAGGTGCTATGTTAGCATACCTTCTTACCGATTGTGCTTTCGGCCCTGTCGGCCATTTAAATTTAGTTAGTGTAGGATGCGTAGAGATGGCAGCTGTAATGCACCCGGGCCATGTTGGCCCACCAATAACGAAGAGTTTCACGGGGCTGTTCTTGATCCATGGTAGATAAAACCCTGGTCTTCCATACAGGTTGACAGCAATGGGGACGGATGATGACAGTCATGATGCACGTTGTAACAGACTTTTCTTAATGTTTACAACAGGTATAAATACACTATTACGGTAGCTGTCACAACCAAATTCCCAAGGATAGAATTCCTCATACTCACCGCTGTGAGAGCCTCATATTCAAAAATACGTAAATCTGCTGGGCTGAACGTTTTGACCGGTTTTGACGGTGGTGTCTATGTAGAATAGTACTAATCTGCTGGGACGTGATTCCGCGTAGTCTGGTAGAATTACTCCAACGTTTTGGAGAACGAACTTCATCTTCAGGATTTCAGGATAGGCCGTCCTATGCGGTCCTGTGCGTTACTGTGGGTTGTGTGTTTGCTTCTTCCACCGAAACGCTCCGAAACCTTGGTCCTCAAGTCCGCTCAAGTCTGAAGTCTGTATGTACGTGCGCATGCGAACACGCTGACTGAAAATGTGTTGTAATAGTGTTGGAAGCGTTGGAAGTATGGATGTTGGTTGTGAGCACGGTGTGTGAATGAAAAGTGAGAGGTATGCCTGAGGTGTTTTAACCAATGTGTATTTTTAAGTAACTTTCTTTTTTATTTTTTTATTTTTTTTTCTGTAATGTATACAAGCATATACACACTGTAAGACCACGTCTGACAACGAAAGTTTATTCTTGTTACTTTCCATTTGCCTTTCGCTCCTGGTTTAAGGTAAAGTTAAAGTTATGTTAATGTTAAAACAAATCATTCTTCGGGCGTACGTATTATACGCCGAAATAAAGATGTGCAAGTGAAGGAAGGCTAGCTATGTAAAACATATTTCTAAATTATAAATTTATAGAGATATGCCAATATTTTAAGGAATGTAAACGAATTTAGACATGTGCCAAAGTGTCATAGATATCATAGTGGTTGCAGAAGATAGTGATGACGAGGTAAAGGTAAAGCTATCTGAAACAGGCCGTGGAGGTCGCGGGTTCGATTCTCGATGATGTAACTGGATTTTTCAGTTGACCTAAACCTTCTGGCTGCGCTATGGCCCTAGAGTGGATTCAGTGTGTAACAGAAATGAGTACCAGGATGATAAGAAGAATGTGTCAAAAATACGCTGTGAAGGTAGCAAATTTTGTGATTCCAGATCAGGCAGTGAGTTAGCATATTCTGACATAGAATGTATCACTGACAGCCAAGTTACTAATGATGTGCAGAACTGTTAAACAAAGGCCCCTGAGGCTGCATGTAGGTGAAATCAAAAGAGGCTTATAAAGTATACACATACTGATATTAATGCCAGCATATTATTACTCAGAACTGCCTGTTTAAAATGACTGTATTTGATGTTACCAATGTCATGTTTTCGATAAATTGTGTATTGCCATGTATCTTTAATGTACAAGGTCCAGCAAGGAAGCCTGACATTTTTAAGTTTGCACTGATTTAGAAAGCGTCAAGTTTCCCTACTGGACCCTGTATAATTAAGGATGTATAATTTTCACAATTTCACATTATAGGATGTAGGCAATTTTGAAATGTAAATTATTTATTCCTCTAAACTTGCTGTCTAGAGGGTGTGCAATTTATTGTTAAGACTAGTTCCCTCAGTCCACATGGCAATCTTCTCTTATAGACCTTCTAGAGTACCTCATAATCCACAGCCTGCTTTTCTAATGTAATTAGCTTACCTTATTTTATAGAAGAATCTCAATGTCATAACCCTGTGCTGTAAAATGTTTCTAGACACATTGAAGCTGCTGCATGGGAATAGGAGATATTTCATGCCTGATATATTCTTGAAGTTCTTCCAAATAATGCAGTTGTTCACATACACTTTTTTGTCATGCCTTGCAAATACAAATTACAGGGATTTAAATCAGGTAATTACAGAGGCCACAGTCCTTGACTTCTGACTTGTTCACTGAAGACTTCTGCTACTGCCTCCATCAAATTGTAAACAGTGTGTGACATAGCATTATCTTGCAGAAAATACTCCTGTGATTTTCTTCATCAGTCATTTGATGAATGAAGGGTGATAAAATCAATATCATATAACTTTCACAATTTAATGAAAAAAAAAACAGCACCATGCACTGATTGCACACTAAACCCCAACTTTTAAATCATGCATATGCACTTTATGAGCAGCGTGAGGATTTTCTTTGCCCCAGTATCTCTTATGTTGGCTGCCTGTTCATTCATTCATTCATTTATTTCAAATTCAGTAAATCCAAAACATAGGTTGAAATACAACCCTGGATATAGAACATGTCAATAATAATATTAAAATAAGTTCCAAACATTGAAACAGTCAAGATAAACAATAAAAACGATATAAAATAGTACACAGTGTAATAACAATTTCATTAAATACAAACAGATTAAAACAAAGAATTTAAATTATCAGTAACATGAATCTTCTATATACAATTCCACCCAAAATATATTAAGTACAAAAGATTATTATGCGCTTTAGTTTCAAGATAAATATAAGCAATAAATATAACGCCTCACATACCAGTTAAATATCATATATACCTGTCACAGTCATACAATAGTCTGAAATCATTTACATAATTTAATGTAATCGTGTGTTAAAAAATAAATTATTAATAAAGTATTATAAAAATATTCATCGGGAAGTAGTTTGGTAAAATTCATCAATGCTATAAAATGCATGTTCAGTGAGATATCTTCTCAATAAAAATTTGAACTTCTTAATTTCTCCAGATGATGATTTAATATTCAAAGGTAATTTATTATACAATTTGCTTCCAGAGAACAGGACTCCTTTTTGTGCAATTGATAAATTTGTAAAGGGTAAGTGTAAATTGTAATTATAACGGGTATTAATATTATGTATTTCTGTATTAAATTTGAAATAATTTTTATTCTTAATAACAAAGAGAAGCAAAGAAAAAATATATTCAGATTGGAGTGGCAATATTTGTAACTTTTTAAACAATTCCCTACAAGAATCATATTTTCCTGATCCAGACATAATTCTTATGATTCTTTTTTGTATTTTAAAAATGTTCTTACTAAAAGGGGCATTACCCCAAAAGATAATGCCATACTTCAATATTGAATGCACATAAGAGTGATAAATCGTCTTTATTGTATCCAATGACATAAAGGGTTTTATTGCCCTTATTGCAAAACATGCTTTGCTTAGTCTTACTGATAATAAAGTTAAGTGATTTTTCCATGACAATGAACTATCTATATTTATTCCCAAAAACTTTGAACAATTAATATTTGTAATTAATGTATTAGTAATTGTACTTTGGATTTCTATTTCTCTATGCTTCTTTAGGAAAAATTGTAAAAACTGTGTTTTATCACAATTTAGAGTTAAAAAGTTTTTTTTAAACCATATCATTGCTTCATTAAAAATTAAGGTAACATTACTTCTAAATTTTTCAGGATTCAAATTAGATACAATAATACTTGTGTCATCAGCAAATAATACAGGCTGAGCTAGTTTTCTTAAGGAAGATGGGAAATCATTAATGTAAATAAGAAATAATAGTGGTCCCAGTACAGAGCCTTGTGGCACTCCATGTTTGACCATCATCCATTTAGAGGATACTTTATTCAAATTATTATCATTTATAATCGTTCTTTGATATCTATTTTCAAGGTATGATTTCATTAGTTTTATTGCTGAACCCGAGATTCCATAAAATTTCAATTTTTCCAGTAAGACATTGTGATTTACACAATCAAAAGCCTTTTGTAAATCACAAAATAATCCACCCACATATTCTTTTTTGTCCAAAGAAGTTAATATATTATCTAAAAGATTATATGTTGCCATTTCAGTAGATGATTCTTTTCTAAATCCAAACTGTTCCTTGGCCAATATATTATTCCTATTTAAATGAGAATAAATTCTTCTATAAATAATCTTTTCAATGATTTTAGAGAAAGTTGGAAGAAGTGAGATTGGCCTATAGTTAGAGATTTCAGTTTTATCACCCTTTTTATAGAGAGGCTTAACTTCAGAAAACTTAAGCCTATCTGGGAAAATACCAGTTAATAGTATCTTATTACATAGATATGTTAGGGGAGACAGGATATACGGGGCACTAGATTTCATAATCTTCAATGATATTTCATCATAGCCATGAGAATTCTTCGGTTTCATTGACAATATTATTTTTTTAATTTCATAAGAATTAGTATTACTAAAGTTCATTTTTGGAAATAACTGGTGTGAATTTTGATGTAAATAATATAAAAAATCCTTATTATTATCAGGAGATTGTTTATAAAATTTATTGTTGAGTAATTTTTCAGCTATAGATGAAAAGTAATTATTAAAAGTTTCTGCAATATCAATTGGATTTTCTGACAATTTATCATTTGTTTTTATCTTAATTATATTATCAACAGATCCTTTTTTGTTTGTAATAGTTTTCACAATATTCCATGTAGTTTCCATGTAGTTTGTGTAACCACTTAAATTGAACCATTCCTTGTCAGAGTAAAAACATAAGTTCTGTGTTAAGAAGTCTGTTAAATACTGATTCCTGAAACTACCTGCAGTATCCAATTCTTGCTCCACAGTCTGGAAATAAAAGGCTATGTATGAGTGTAGATTTGTAAGGTCATGACTTTAGCAACTTTATACTAATGAGAGAGAAAAGACATGGTGACTTTTTGAGCTTGGATTCTAATCAAGCACTAATGTCATCAAGTTGTTCTTCAGACAATATAGATTTCTTTTTGTTCAGCGACAACCCCAAAAAACAAAATTTTATTGTGGAATTGTAAATTGTTACTCTACAGGGCACTGTGCTGTCAGGATACTTCCTATGAAATTTTCTACAGGATTTGCTACAATGAAAACCATATTATAATCCAAAATTTGTTATTTTACTCTACATAAACTTTAAATTTGATGCTAAACCAACAAGTAAAGAATAATGACTATTTACAAATTCTTTATATTTCAGGTTATGAAGTGTGGAAAGAATATGTGTCAAATCAGGTGACCATAAATTCATGTATTTAATATGCATCTCAGAAAGAAAATTGTGATGCTGGTGGTATCACTGTTGTTCATTTTTGTTGTTGTTCATATACATCAGTCCATCGTCACTGATGATGATCCGTATAGTATATATAAGCAGAAGTATTATCTTGATGGTCTGAGTCACTGGTACAACTATTCTGGTGAGTTTTCGTTGCTGATTGTCATTTACATTTTACATATTCATCTCTGATATTCCTACCTTTTTTGTATGCTAAAATCTTTGGGCAATAAGCCATGTCAATGTTGAGTTAAAAATCACCATACCATACATCTCCATCACCAGGGCCAATGTAGTAAGTGATCATACATTTCTGATATGTTTACCAGACTCGCAAGTCGATGCCTCATTGTACTGGCATGCTATGCAGAAGGAGGGTGGAGTCAAATTGTGCGGTCACCCATCCAACCCTAGCCTCTCACCATGTCACTTAGCCTGGTGTCCTTGCCCATGCCTCTGTTTGTCTTTGTGGGATTTTTCTGGTTTATATGCATTGGAGCATCATATTAATCTGGCGCTGGGATTCCATTCGTTGATATCTTTGCTTTGGACCCTTCCTCTCTGTTGATATTATTCAGATATAACCTTTTTTTGTTGCCTCTTTGCAAGTTGGTCATGTAGCATGATGTTTAGGCTAGTATGTTGACCTCTTGAAAAATAATCTGGTGGACTGATCCATTGCTATGTTTTGTCACTGTGGACATGTATTGCTGATAAAAATGTAGATAGGAGGCATGGCTTTTACATCTTGCTTCAGTGGATTGATCTTATAACAGTCTTTCTCTTCACGCCCTCGATGACGTATCCTTGGCTGTAGTTGTGAATGCCATGTGGTTTTAGAACCATGTCGAGGTGCTGAGAATGGCTTGAGGGAATTAAAAGGGAATGATGTTCAGGGTGTGAGGATGAAATTCTCTTCAGTGCTTAACGGGCCTTGCTCCAACAAGAGAGGGTTTATTGAAGAAGTCCCTGGATCACACTTTACCGATGAAATGATGGACTTGATTTATTTGACAGCACTACACAATTCTACAAGTCAGTTGCTTTAGGTCACAGATGCAACTGTTCTGGTATGCAAGTATATGCAACACCCAATAGTCATAATTAATACACTGAATGTTACATGTATACCCTCATTCTGAATACTACTACTACTACTACTACTACTACTACTACTACTACTACTACTACTACTACTACTGCTACTGCTGCTGCTGCTGCTGCTGCTGCTGCTGCCGCCGCCGCCGCCGCAAGAAGACCGCCATCTGAAATCAGCCTTCAAATACTCTTAGATGATGTAATATTCCAGAACCTTCCGTATCAAGATCTTTCTTGAATCTTCCACACTATTCTGGAAGTTTCTTTAATTGGGCTGTTGGGAGGGGTAAGCGATTCATATACAGCAGTGGATGTCAAAGATTGTTCTAGTAGCTCTTATCTAAACATTCCTCACCACAAATTCTTAGAATAGTTAATGCAAAACTGGGTATAAGTCACATTTAGTACAGAAATTATATTGAGACCTAAGTATTAATATTTAAGAATTAGGACAGCAAATAGTGATCAGTTACAACCTGTCTGTCCTATATACACTTTTCCACATTTGTATGGAATGCCATAAACCTCTGAGACTTCTTCACTGGTCTCGGAATATGAGAACTGTTCTCAGCAGGGATGTAGACTGTCCTTATATTAAATTTTCATAGTAATCTGCTGATATATGATGTTACTTTTGGAAAAGTAAAAAGACCATCCAAATCCCTCCACCCTCACTGTATTGTTCTCTTGTGTTTCTTAATCATGGCTCTGTTGAGGGCTGTTGTGCCCATTTTGTCACCCTACATCATTTATTGTTTTCACACAGTTAATGAGTGTGAACACTCTGTGTTCTTGTGATGGATGGTGGTGTGACTTTGAAGGTCTGTATGAGTCGCTTTTCTGTATACTGAATGTCCTCCACATGAATCAGAAAAAAAGAAACTAGAAAGACAAGCAAAGAATAGCATGCCAAAAGGAAGACAAAATAACTGACAACAGGGACACCAGGTTAAGTGATATGGTGATGGATCAGACTCACAATTTGACTTCACCCTCCTGCTTCATAGGACACCAACAGGATGAACCATCAATTTATATATATAAACAATGTGTGGTCATTCACCACATGTTCCTTGATAATGGAGACATAGGAGAACTCAGAAATGTTGGTTTTTAAGTAAACATTTACACAGCTGATTGCCCTGGAAGATTCAGCGTGTTTATTTACTGTGAAAGCTTCAAATCTACATTTCTACCTTTACTTCAGCTTTAAAGCCGATAGTGCCAGAAAACAGAACTACACTATTCAATTTAATTTTGTGTGTAGATTTACTGAGGCACTTCAGATATTCTCCATTGTAAGGAGTTACAAGGTAGAGATCTTCCAAATCTTGATTTTTCAGCCATAAAGAAGTATGGTTTTCAGCAGATAAAATATTTCTTTAAAATTTAGTACTTTTTAGAATCATTTGACTGAGAAAAGGCTGTGTACTTTGGAAAAGAAGATCAAAGTTAATTTATGTTATTTAAGCTTATGGCCTCAAAACTCACCAGAGTTATGCCAAAAACTTCAGGGAGGACACAAGAAAATAAAATAATCTGGAGGCCACATCACTTATTTGTTAGTATACTGTTAATTGAGATACTTATGTTTAAGTGGGTTTGTAATGAAGAGAGTAAGAAAATACAGGGTAACAAGTTCCTTGACTAGTTCTGAAAATACTGCACCAATTTAAAGGATTCAAATTTATTTTAGAATACTAATTTGTAATGTTTCGTGTTGAATAAAAACATAATTTTATTTATGGACCAGTCAGGAATTTACACTAACTGTTTTTTTATATTAAAATAAAGTAAATTGACTCAGTTGTGCCAGCATAACTTGTTTTATTTCCTATTTTGGCTCAGTATCTTTGAAGTTGAAGCAATATGGAAATAAATGTGTTTATTTTGGATTAAAACAATCTTTGGTGATGAATATATTGCAGGCATGAAACCACAGCATCAGTTTTCAATTCAGACTGATTCTCAGTGCACTTAACAGAACCATAAAGCTCTTTCACTCATGTAAATATTTTTTTGTGCAGTGTAGTCCCAATTATCTATACTAATGATGGGGGAAGATGCACTAATAACTGAAAAGCATAGATAATCCAAGACTATGGTGATGCTTGAATATAGCAATTAAAAATGTATGGAGAATGTTCCGTATATAATGCCTCCTATTTTTTTTAATCAAAACTACAACAGGTACAGAAAGCATAATAATGCAGTTAAACAGAGCAAGATTTCAGATACTTACAGTTATTTTTCCACATAATCACCACCATTTATTATGCACTTTTTCCAGCGATGAACAAGAGCCTGTATGCCATGCCCATAAAAGTCTGCGCCAGCAGAGGCTAGCCACTTTCTTACAGCTGCAGTGACAGCATCGTTGTCTGGAAAGTGTTGCCCACGTAGTCCATCTTTCTTAGGCCCAAAGAGATGGAAGTCTGAAGCTAAATCGGGGTTGTAAGGTGGGCGTGGTAGGACAGTCCAGCCAAACTTTGCAATGTGTGCATTGGTCGCCAAACAGGTATGGGGTCTAGCGTTATCATGTCGCAAGCAAAAGGTTATCTGCTTCTCTGGCCTGACTCGGGAAATGCAGGCTTTCAGCTTAGTCAGCGTCGTCATGTAGTGTTCAGAATTGGCAGTCTCACCAGGCTCCAGGGAATCCAAGAAAATCACATCCCGTCAATCCCAAAAGACCATGCACATCACTTTAACTGCTGATGGCTGTGTCTTGAACTTCTTTTTTCTTGGGGAATCCAGATGTCACCACTCCATGGACTGTCTTTTGGATTCCGGCTTGTAATGGTGACACCACGTCTCATCTCCAGTGACAATGCTGTCCAGAAACTTGTCACCTTCAGCCTCAAACTTGTGCAACAGGTCCTGACAAACTTTCATTCAATGAGTTTTGTGGTCCTGTGTAAGCATCCTCGGGACCCACCTGGAACAAACTTTGCTATAATCCAGCTTCCCCAACATCGTTTCTAATGCATTACAGCTGATATTAAGCCATGCACACAGTTCCCTGGTCATTATCCGCCGATCTGTATGGATGAGCTGATCAAGGTGTTGTTCACTGTGTGGAGTGGCAGCTGAGCAGGGACGCCCAGGGCATGGTTTGTCGTGCAGTTCACTTTCGCCACTGTTGAAACGCACTACCCACTGCCTCACTGTGCCGATCTATATGGTTGAGCTGATCGAGGCAGTGTTCATTGTGATGAGTGACAGCTGAGCAGGGACACCGAGGGCGTGGTTTGTCATGCTCTTCACTTTTGCCACTGTTGAAACGCACTACCCACCACCCTACTGTGCTGACATCCACTGTATCATCTCCGTACACCTTTACCCAGTGTCGATGGATGTCGGTGGGTGCAATTTGTTCGGCAGTGAGAAATTCAATAACACATCTTTCTTTCATATGCACTTCTATGTCAGATGCCATTTTGGTAGACTGCTCTGCTGTCACTATCTGTCGCACAACAACCAAACTAACAGTACATTGGCGGGAAGGTTCAACGTTTATACAGTACCACCAACATCCAGCTGAAATGTTACATATTAACACAAAGAAATAGGAGGCATTATATATGGAATGCTCTTATAGTTATCTAAAAAAATATAAGACATATGAAAAAGTGCTTTGAACATAAAATATGTGTTTCATTTTTCTCTGCAGTGTTTGTTCAAAATATTTCTCTCTCCAGATACTTGGCGTAAACACATGTAGATGTTCATGTAATATTGTTTTTAAAATTATCTGATTGAAGTTAATATTGACATGGAATGATGATTTTTTTTATAAAATTGTCCAATATCAGATGTCATGAAAAACCATCCAGCAGCTCTCAAGTTGTTTCATGAGCACAAATAGATGACTTGATCAGTCTTAATAGGTGCTCTCTAGAGTTGTGAACTTGCCTGCATGGATAAGCCACAATCCAAATAATCCACACATGAATCAGTTATATACTGTATGAATTTGTTGCATGCATGCCTTTTAGACTTTGGAAGACACACATATTCTTTAGAACCTTGTTATTGAAATTCATGTGTCTAATCATTCTTGACTGTTCTTTCCTAATCCAAACACAAGAAACAAAATTACACTTGACAATAATTTTTCGTTCAACTCAGTATGACCAGATTGTTTTAAGTGCATGTCTATATGACATTAATTTAAATTAAAATAATGGAAAATCATGTTATATTTTAGCGTCCTGTTGCACTGATTTATGTCCATGATTTATTCTAACTGTCTTACAGTGCATACATTTATTCACCTTACTCTCCTCTCTTGCACTACATGTTTCAGCACAAAAGTGCCATCTTCAGGTGCTTTTGTGCTGAAACATGTAGTGCAAGAGAGGAGAGTAAGGTGAATAAATGTATGCACTGTAAGACGGTTAGAATAAATCATGGACATAATGGAAAATCAGTTAACTTTTTATATATTTGAAATGAAATGTGATTTCTGAAGGTAAAGCTTGTTTCATATTTCTGTGTATTGTTATATATTCTGCTAGTCTGAATAAAATGGTCTATTTTCATTGAGCAGTTCATATTGCAGGTGAAAGTGATTTAAATGGGCCAACAGTAAGCATGGATAATCCAAAACTTATCACCAAAATTCGAAAGAAGTTTCTCTTATCTCCATCACTGCATATAGAACCATACAATCTCAGTTTCCCACTTCTCTATGACACATCCATGGGGCAGTCTGAGATGATACTTAGTATTCTTGGAGACCAGGTAAGTCATTGTCATTGACTGTGAATCTGCTACAGCAGAACCATGTCAGTTTATCATTAGTTACATGAACTCATTACTTTATTGTCACTGTTTTACAAAGCTCTGAACAGTATTAATTATTATTCCATACATCTGTGTCTTCTAGAGAGGTATGCTTTCTTGAGCTCTCATCCAAGGTAAGACATGACAATAAAAATACTGTATGTTCCATGAAAGTATCATAAGTAGAAATATTCAAAGAAATTCACTCCTTGTTTGTAACCTTATTATTACTGTTTGTAGAGCAGTGGGCAGTTTCTCTCAGGTAAGAAAAATCGCAAAATGCGGCATTATGTAATTAGAGGTTCCATCCATACATAAAAATGTTTTCACTGCAACCACTGTATATACCAGATGATACCATAGTTGCTGAAAGTGATGTCCTCCAACATCCAGGTGTGTTTCACATTAATGTAAACAATTCTGACACACTTTGAAGATCACCTTCTATGATTTGTAAAATAATATTTAGGAGTTTGATCTGTAGAACTTCCAAAGTGCCAGATTATTTCTATAGGATGTTTGTGGCAGTTTCCTCACTGATAGAAATCACACATATTCAGATCTGGGGAATGCAACATGACATAAACAGACTATGGGTATGATATTGTGGATAATCCATGTCTGTGAATCAGTGGGTGTTTATTCTTGTTGTCACATCCCTGTTGCTTTCTTTGTATCTCTGTCCAGCCATGGTATGTTACAGTACTGAACAATTCATGTTTCTTTTTTAGAATTTCAGTAGGGTGACACTAGCATATGATGTGAAAAATTCATTGTGGGTTCAGCAGAGAATTTTCTGTGCATGAATAATCAGATGACTGGCAATTGCTGTGTTTTGTGATATGATAGTATATAGTCTTAGTATAAGGTTACCAGTGCTTTGAATGAACTTACTGTCACCATCTCTGCCCTGAAGGTGGAAGTAGAATGTTGCTCTGAAATGTTGGTAACATTCTACCAGACTGTTTGACATCACATCCTAGAAAATAACCCTCTTCATAGTCACCACTGTATAAACCTCAGATCTCACTTGAATGACTATGACTTTAATGTTTTCCAGATCTGAATGTTTGTGATTTTTATCCCTGGGGAAACTTGAAATGGAATATTGGCAGAAATAATAAGTGCACTTTGCAGCTTTACATATCAAAATATGGAATGTTACTCGAGAAACGACAGAAGATACAGTGTAGCAGATGCAGTTTGTTTCATTGGTGTGAAATGTGCTTGGATATTGGGGCATTCTTCTTTCAGCAGCTGTTGTAATGTCAGGTATGTAAAGTGGTTTTTACTAAAATCATTTTGTATGTATGGATGGAACCTGCAATTACACTGTATTGGCAATATGGGGCAACTTGTGGCTTTCTTACAGAAGAGAAGCTGCCGACCAGCTGATGCCTGGCCTAGGTGACAAACAGAGGAATGAACCTCTCTGTTTCTGTGATCAAGTTTATGTTAGTTGAGGTACATAGTTAACAGAGAATTAAGCTAGATGTGAAGAATTTTTAAAAATCTGGAAGCAGATTTTAAATAGTTCTTAAGTTATTACGCTGACATATTGTGTGTGTAGATTAGTTTTACTTCTGTATAATTCATTTTCTTTCATTGTGCCTGTTTCATAAGGGTTGATGGATGAACAGTCTTCAGACTCTGCTGTTTTCCCACAATATTTCCTTTATAATTCCTTATCAACTCCTTCCCCTCTTCTTGATAGTATTAACTATCATGCCATAAATTCTTCCTTTAAATTTTAGTTCTGACAGCCTTTGCTGTATCCTTGTTCTGTTCATTCCTTTTATGTTGCCAAATTGTTGTTATAATATCTCTTCTAACTATTATTAATGAATTTTGTGTTCTGCTTTCTCTAAAAATATTACGTTTAATTTTATCCCTTTTCTCCCCTCAGTACTTCTCTGAAATTTTCTGTCCATTGTTTGGATTTTGCTTTTGTTTCTTTATGTAGGATTCCTTGATTGAACATTACAATATACTGTCATGTGATGGAGTGACTATAGACAGGGTTTGGATTGATAACTGGATATATTGAATTCTTACAGATCCATAACTGCAAGTAATTATAACCATTTCACTAATTCACACACATTACACTTCACTAGAGCACACAATTGGGTGTTCTCAACCTGCTGTGTCTTCATCATCGGTCTTCTGGTAATGGCATCCAACAGTGGACATTCCCCATCCTCTGGGTTCTAAATTGTCCCTGGTCTCTGCTACAGCAACTCTCAACTAACCAACCAACTAACTAACTAACTAACTACCTCTGGACTTGTCCTGCTTATCTCGGTATGGACTGCATAGAAAACACCATTACTCTTGTTGTTTGCAGTTGTTGCCATGGAAACATCCTTGTTTGCAGAACCATTACTTAGTAATGGCTGTTGTATATTTGCTTATCTCATGGTTGTTGCCCAGCAACAGGTCTACATGCCACAATACCATGGAGATTGTGGTCATGCATTGTTCTGGGATATGTCTTTTCCATAATGTTCCATGTGTACCTAATAGAATGTATAGAATTTTTTCTTCTTTTCTTAGTATCTCCATTAATTTTTCCCTCTGAATTTATTTGACTTCTCATATAAATACATTATCCACCAGTTTTAACAGTTATTCTTTACTACGTGTGTTGTCAGATGTACTGTGTCACACAGTACATCTGACAACACACGTAGTAAAGAATAACAGCGGCACGCACACGGGAAGACTACACAGGATAACACCTATACAGTGTGGGAACAAGAACTAGCCGCTACAGCACTTTAGACATAGGGCGAGTAACCCTAACAATTTTAAATTTGGAATTTGGAGAAAAAAAAAATAAAGGGTTTTAAAATTAGAACTAAAGATTTTATAGTGCTACTACAGGTACGTCAGAATTAACGTGTGTAAAGTGATCTACATCCGGACAGATATCAACGAAGTAGATGTTGATAATAACAAGGAAAGTGTTTTAAATGTTAAATTTTGGGCTGAGTGCAGTGTGACAGCAACGTGAGTGTTATACACCTGATGATGGCCGTCTGTAGCCGAAACATGTAGTGTGGGTGAACAAGATCAAGGACACATAATATATTGTTTGCACTTGGGACGGAATTTGTATCATTATATCATTTACAAGTCATGTGTTAACATTGTCAGTAAATCCAAGCTCCAATTCAGAACCCTGTCTATAGTCACACAGAAATTGTGACAATGTTTATATGTAGGATTAACATTCATGTATTCTTAGGATATTAGAGAACATGTTAGAGGTGTTGAGAATATTTACTTTGAAACTGATAATTTGTATCTGTGCAGAAAGAGGGATTTTTTGTGGAATGTGGGGCATTGGATGGTGAGACACGATCCAACACTTTGCACTTTGAACGCCACCTCAACTGGAGTGGGCTTTTAGTAGAGGCTGACCCACTTAACTTTGCAAAGATGGAAAACAAGAAAAGGAAGGCATACCTGTCTCCCAGCTGTATGAGCACCAAGCCATACCCCATAATGGTAAGTCAGTATGCGCATTACAGGTCACCCATATTTTAAACTAAGTACACAAGGAACTTGGTATAACAAGGTCTGTAAGTTTTTTATTACGAGGTCTTGTTGTAATTAGATCCTTTCACAAGCTCCAAAATGATGCCTGAATTTTTTCATTGAAGAAAGGCTCAATTTTGTACTGAATTCCATACTGTAGCATGGCTCAAATACAGAATCATCTTGACTTTATGTTCTAATTATATTTGGCAAAGGGAAGGAATTATGAATCTTCTCATGATGCAGTTTTCTCCAGCCTCCTATTATTTCATCCCTCTTGTGTCCAAGTATTCTTCTCAGACACCCCCAGTCTGTTCTCAGCTTTGCAAATGTGGAGAAAAGTCTCACACAAAACAGAGGCTTTATTTGGCACCTTCATCATTATAAATGATTTTTTCATAATATTTTGGTGCAAGTGTACATGCAGTTGGCTTCCAAAACTGTTTGCAGCTGGCAGTCCATAAAGGTATCATTAAGCCACACTCTGGGCCTCTCCTGTATCTAGGAGAGGAGAAGGAAATCTGCAGTCAAGAATCAAAGTATTGGATGTCTGAATAGAGAATTTACTCAGTCTTGAGAGAAAAATGCTTAGCACACTTAAACAGAGCTATTCAAGAACATCAGCCAACTCCTCAAAATGTTATGTAGTCACAGTAGAGTGTGGTGATTTTAGGGCCACACTTAGCATAACTTTATGTCTTCAAGGTCATATCCTTTCCAGATTTTAGTCATACTTAAAAATTGAGAACTGTCAGTGTTCCAGAGGCCAGGGTTTATCATTTCAAAGCAAAGAAGAGATTCAGGAAGAACTGATTGCCTCCTTTCCTTTCACTATGTGTCAACTATTTAATATGACACAGACCACATAGAAAACATTGTGTCCAACAGTTCAGTTGTTAATTGTATGTTGCCATGAGAACATGTTTACCAAGCTGTTGCCTAGTTGGGAAGGGGGGGGGGTTATACTGGGATGCATAGACACAGAGAGCTTGGTGATCTTTTAAGCCTCCTTTTGTTTTTCAAAATAAGGAAATTAGGTTAAAAATGACATTAGTATATATAAACTTTTCAGCTGTTACTGTAGCATACGTAACAGACTGAAGGGCCAGTTGTGAGCACAAGAATTTATGCATGTTTAGGAAATCACACAGTTCTCCTCTCAGGTAATGCTCAAGGCACCAGCAATGTTGAACTATTCTCTGTTACTTTCTTATCTCTTTGATAAACATTTCATACAATTTAGAAATTATACATATGGCATGTTCACTCATTTTCATTTATTTATCTTATTTTAACTTAAATTGGTGTATGTCAACAAATATTCATAAAGCTCTGCATTTTCCTCTCTCTTTGCAGTCCAAGTAATTTCTAAAATAAGCAAAAATGTATACAATATGGTTGTTCACAGCAGTGAACATTCATATTATGGCTATCTAGATTGTGATACCATTTAATGTGCTAGATTGATACTAATGTTTCAGAGGAACGTACTTCCTCCATCTTTGGGCTGACTACTTTATGTCACAATCTAGCGGGCCAAATGTAAGGTGAAATTGTTTCTTTCTATAATTTTCTTACAAAGTACACCTAGTGGCCATGCCATAACTCAGGTGGTAAGTCACTGGCTTCCCACCACAGCATCCTGAGTTCAAGCCTGGATCAGGTAATTGTGGAATTTGTGGTGAACAAAGTGTCGCTGGGTCAGGTTTTCTCCAAGTACTTCAGTCTCCCCTGCTAATCTTCATTCCACCAATTGCTCCACAATCACCATCATCTATCATTGGGGTCTGGTACAATAGGCCAGTAGTGGCCGCAGTACCAAGTGGACTCACCCCACTAAGAATAATAATAATAAAAAAAAAGAACACAGTACTACTCTCCAATCTTTATATTGCAATATCTGTGGGAATACCAAGACTGCTCAGAAATATGTTGCCTGAAGTCTGAAACTGATATTATATTTGATATTGACAGCCTTAAAATTTGTACATTGGTAGTCAATCCAGTGGTTTAGAAAGCAGCATTGAAAAGAGAATGTTCTATATTCTAGTTGTAGATTATGTGAATCCACCTCCTTTCAGCCTATCAGTTTCCAGGACACTATTTCATTAGCACTATACCTTAAATAAATAAAGAATTAAGGTACATTCACTTATAATTTTATAAGTACTATTTTCCCTCATTACGCATTGTGTTCCTTTTCTGTGTGTGCTTGTTGAATAACATTCTAGTCTTTCTGTAGAGACCATGTCATATTTACATATGTGGATATGTATGCATGCATTTAAGTAATGATAGAGATATGTGAATTCATAAACATCATTTGTGTCTAGGATTCAGACTGTAACTCCAGGATCTGAGACCAAGACATCATGTGGACCAGGGTTCAAGACACTATAATTTTGCATGTTATTTGTTGTGATTATTGCGTATTGGAGGACCTCAGATATTGCCTACCATTAATGCTATAAATTTCTTGATTGCTTTGTCTGACATGAGGAGGTGATAGTGGATAACATGTAGGGCAGTCAAAAAGTTCCTGGAATTCCACTGCAAATGGAGAACGAGCAATAAGATAGTGCATACACTGTTGTGGTGGGAAGCTCAATATGTCTGCTCGCAGACGCAATGGGTCTGGACATGTTTCAGTGTGCAGTGTCATTACTGTTCCGTTTGGATTAGATGTAAGTGTTGGTCATTCGGCGCAATGTCACAGTTCGAACAGCGTGCAAACATCAAGTTCATGTGCAAATTGGGAAAATCTGCTTCAGAGACACTATTGGCCCTGCAGCAAGTTTACGGTGATACTGCACTAAAGAAATCTGCAGTTCACAACTGGTTTCCCCGGTTTAAGAATGGGCAGGAGACATTAGAGGATGACCAGCGCAGCGGGAGACCTTCGAGATCCGGAATCGAAGACATGATTGGAAAAGTGCGACAGCTGATTTGATGTGATCAAAGAATGACCATCGCGGAGTTGGAGCAAGAAGTTGGTACTGTTACTGGTCATTTCTATGTGAAAATTTTGCAGAGGATGCACAATGCGGTTCGGAGGAAGCGGCAAGACAGGTGGCAGGGACAGTGGTTTCTGCATCACGATAACACACTGAGCCACACATCGCTTCTTGTGCAGCAATTCCTCTCCAAGAAAAACATTCCTGTCATCACTCAACCACTGTACTCTCTGGACCTCGCTCTGACTGACTTTTGGCTGTTCCCTACTCTGAAAATGGGCCTCAAGGGGACACATTTTGCAACCATGGGGGACATCAAATCAAATGTGACGGCCGAGCTCCAGAAGATTCCAAAAGAAGCCTTCCACCACTGCTTCTGGCAGGATCGATGGAGCAAGTGTGTGTGCGCGCAAGGGTCCTACTTTGAAGTTGATTAGGTGTGCGTTGCCGTTTGTCCTACCATTAGAGTGCTATACCACCATTCCAGGAACTATTTGACTGACCCTCGTAGATGATATATCAGATATTCCATGAATATCTCCTTGATAAAATACATTCCATAAGTTCTGCATGTTTGTTGGCAGGTTTCATTCAAGCAGGACTTTAATGTTGGAAAGATATCTGACTATCCACCTGGGTACAAAGAGTTTGGATATGTGGATGTGCAGTGTTTTCCTCTGTACTCCTACTTGCTAGCACTAAACAGAACAACAGTTGATTACTTCAGTCTTGATGTAGAGGGCAGTGAACTTGATGTGCTGAGGACTGTCCCATTTGAAAAGCTGGATATCCGGGTAAGTCCCCCCCCCCCAGCTATAACCATAGCCATTCATGAGTCATGCTATTATTAGTGCATAGTAATTAATTCACTCCTGAAAGAAAAGATGTTATATGACCATTGATGTAATACGACGATGACAATGACCATGTTCATTAGCACATCTGTCTCATTTTGAATTCAAGTGTGTTGCACTGCATTGCCGTTTCCTCAGTTTGTGCTACTCCGTTCTGTAACGTGTTCAAATCAGTTTCCTTGGTGTGCCCTCATCCTAACAGTACACATGGGGCATGAGCCTAGAGAGGGCTTTTTAATAATCTCCTTGACACTTATGCTAAATTTCACAGCCCACTTATATTTTGAAAGTGGGTAGAGTTATGCATTACAAACAAATTATTCTGCTTTATTTGGTTTCACTATATAAATTTTGGTGTCTTATGTTGCAGACAATGTCAGTGGAATTTGTGCATGTAAAAGAAGGGAAGAACGTGCTAAGGAAATTTGTTGAGAGGAAGGGATATGTGCTTCATAGTGAAGTTATACGTGAAAATAATCTCGCCAACGATTTCATATTTGTGAAGTCATCAGTTGATGCAGAAATTAATTCCAGGTTGCTGTAGCAGGTGTGAGGAAGGTAGCATAGTTGTTTCACCATTGTGCAAAAGTTGTATACTACAAAATATTTCCCTTTATTTAAATTTTTATGGCATACAATTTGAAGTTTCTGCATTTAACTTACATGTAATTGAGAGAAATTCCATAAAAATGAGGCAGATTTATAAATCTTTAATAACTTCTCTTGGTTTCTAGTCTTTCATAACTATAAAGAATAATTGATGAATTAATATATACTCAAACATAATGCCTAATTTTGTTTTCACTCAAAGTGATGCATGTGTGATTATGTCTTTGTTGCTGTAATGTGATATGGTCCTTATAATACTGAAATCACTACATTGTACTGATGTAGCAGTTACAGTAAAGTTATGTTGTAAGATTGTGCCCACTATGCCACATGATACAGAAAGTATTGAAAGCAGTATCACAGATGAAAACGATGTTACATTTGATTAATATGAAGCTGTGAAGTTATACATTATGGTCTCCGGTTCTTTGGAGCAAAAGTGTCCTTCAGTTGTAAAAGGACATAAGGATGATTGTAAGTATGAATGCAGATTATGAGATGTGTTAGTTTGGGGCATAATGCCCTTCAGTTTCAAAGGGACATGGATGCATCTCATGAAGCATTTAAATAATCATAAATTCGTTCATTACAGTGTGGCATTTTAGATCACAAACTGTGAAAGCATTCTTCAATAACTTTTTGCTGTGAAATGAATTACAGTGTAGTACTACACTGACCAGTCTGACGCTGAAAGAAGAATTTCTCATATTTCAGTGTACAGTATCTTTATAAAGGTAGTGAAACATCAATTTTATATTTTTGGACATAGTACCTGATAGTGACATTAGGACAGTGGTTCCCAAACTTTTTCATTTGGCTTTACCTCCAAATGGATAACTTTGTTATTTGTAAGATTTGAGGCTTTCACGGCGGTGACTATGAAGAAAGCAGTCTTCTGGGATTTGGCACCGTGTATATGTGGGTGCCAAATCCCAGAAGACTGCTTTCTTCAACTTTGTTATTTGTTTTCTCTGATTGTTATTAAAAAAAAAATATCATTTGCTATGTGCTTAGCTTAAGTGCACAGTGTCTGGTGATGTAATGCTTGTATGCCTAAATTGTTTATGGATGTGAATGGAAATTGTCCTTTTGGTAACAAATACCAACTTAATGTTAGTTGAAGATAATACAATTTTTGCTGAGTGATGGTATAATATTGTCACATGTATGCGTGACTACACACAGGATTTGGATTGATGACTCAATTTATTGCATACTTTAACACACGACTCATAACTACACTTCGTAGTTCACTCTTACACACATGCTAGTGTTCTCAGACTTTTACAGTCTGCACTAATCATTGTCTGGTGACAGATCCTACCAATGGAAATTATTCATCTTCCATGCTCACATCCTTGCCAACTGGCAAATATCCGGCAGCTAACTAAACTCTAAATTTGTCCCATTTATGAACTCTTGGCACACACCACTCAGAAAACACTGTTCCTCGTTGTAGTGTAATTGTTGCTTGTTAAGAATCTGCTGCCTAGGAGCAGGTTTTGCTTCATTGTTTCCAGTGATTGTCTAGCAACTGGTCAACAAATCACAGTATAAATGAACTGAAATTTGGATTTTATGTTTTTGTAATTGATATTTTGTTATTTTTTTGTGCTGAAATTGAGCCAGATGCAAGAACATGTAGATAAAATTTAATTGAGAAATAGGTTTTGTATACCTCAGAAGAGATTTTTAAAACATTTAGAAACAATGTAATCTCTCATCTTAATGTTCTGTGTTTAATGTGCTAGATGTGTATTCAGTATGGTTTAGAAGTACATTCCTGCGCACAGACGTGTGCATACCCACTCATTTGCATATGTGAAGGATAGTAAAGATACAAGCCCAGTAAAACCGCAAGGGATGCCCCCCCCCCAGAAATGGCAGTGCTGCCATGTGAGGTAGGAACCGTATAACAGGGCAGAGTATAATGACAACATTGTGCTCGCAGTGTGTGTTCAAATTGACCGTGTCGATTCAAAATCCTGTCAAATGTGAGTTTTGTGCAGTAATTCAATTTCTTCACATGAAAGGAGAAACTGCTGCTGAAATTCATTGCCAGCTTGTTTTAGTTTACGGTGAAGATGTTATGAACGGGCAAAATGTGGCAAAATGGTGTTGTGAATTTGAAGCAGGAAGAAGTGATGTTCATGGTGAAGGCCATCCGTTGTCACTGATGAAATCATCCCAAGAATTGATGGAAACATTTGTGCTGACAGATGTTTAACCATTGATTAACTTCATCAGCAATGTCCAGAAATGTCAAGAACTGTTCTCCATGGCTCAGAGAGCAGGCAGGAGATTTCTACGATGCTGGAATAAAAAGCACGTTCCCAGGCTCATTAAGTGCGTTGCAATCCATGGTGGTGATGTTGAAAAGTAAATAAAGGTGTGTTGTAAAAGTGCTACAAGCGAATCCAAAAAAAGAATGCTTTACAAATATTTTCTGAACTTTGTAGCATTACTTTCTGGATATCCCTCATATATGCAAGTGTACTCACACACCATACCTACTTGGAGGGTTTGCTGCCATGACTGCTTACGGATCATAATTTGTTTGAAGGCATAGATGCATGAAATACTGTGCATTAAAGGCTTGTTATTTATTCATTTCCCCATTGTGTCTCTTATTAATGTATAATATTCCTGAGATGGCACACCACAACCTCCTGATATCAAGTTGAATTTTAGTGTTAGAATTTATTTCCATTGGATAATGTATAAGTAAATGTTAGAAAGTGATGACCCCACTTAATTTGTTTTGGTTGTTTTATGTTTAAGTGCAAAGTTGAGAATGTTAATCAGTCATAGAAGTAATTTTTTTCAAGTACATGTATGAACTGTTCCTATTTATGTAAAAAAATCGTGGATGTCCAGAAATCTAATCGAAGTATGAGAACTCATCTTTCTCATGTTGTCACAAAATTATAACTAAATATAGCATATGTTTGTTTACACTGGAACACAGTATCACTTAAAAATATAGAGAAATTGATATATTTATATTCATCTGTTTCTAATGGTAGCATTTAACTTATTTCTTGCTATATATTCACTGTATTGTTTGTTTGTATTATCGAGATGTTTAATACTATAGTTGAAGGAAAGTGTTGTCTCACTTTATTATTAACAAAAACTGCATTGTTGTCTCACATTAATAACAAAAATATCATTATTACTAAATGCAGTGAATTAGTTATTGTTATTGATTTCAGTTTTGGTGATTTTACAGAAACACAGTACTGAGGTGAAAGATGTATGAGATAGGCAGCTCAAATATGATAGCCTCTTAGATTTATAAATTATCCTCTTGTAATGTACGCTTTTCTTGTATTTATACATTGGTCCATTATATAGCTTTATAACACTTCCAGTTCCAGAAAAATAGGCATATGCAAATCTTGAATTTTCACAGTGAAAACTGTTGCTTTTCGCTTTGTGCATCAGGTGTGTGATGTTAAAAGAAATCATTATCATTGTACTAGTTCCTAGGAGGTGAAATAAAGTTGTAGTACTTAGAGCTGACAGTCCTCCGACGCGGAGTAGGAGAAGTATTGGTAGTGGCGGGGAGAGCTCCAGGTTGCCGACAAGTGTTGCGGGGAATGCGGTACAGGCATTCTCAAAAGGAAATAACTTCTTACCTCATTGTGTTGCATACTGTTGGTGGTTTAGTCTCTTTGATGTTCACACATCCGATGTTAAGTTTTAAGTGCAGAAAAGCAGACTATTATGCACTCTACACTATTATACACTTTTCACTGTTATATATATATGAAGAGTTTATTTACATATTACGTGGGTCTATTCTAAAGTGGCAACACCGGCAATGTCCGCATAGATATCATCTCCACATGCCTGTCCTTCCTCGTCACCACCAGATGAATCAGAGCTATCAGAATTGTCATCACTATGACCGCCAACATGGAAGACGAACTCCCGTCCTGCGTCCAGAAGGCCTTCCCGTGCCATTAATTGTTGCTCAATGTTCCTCTTTCATATACTTATATACATTATTATTATTATTATTATTATTATTATTATTATTATTGGAGGGGGTGGGTTTTCCCATGCACTGCGACTAATAGTCATACTTATATACATTACTAACAATTTCTCTTGATTGTGAATGCAACACATTTCCACTCAATTTACTTCGTGTAGGTAGCATGTTGAAGGAGATATAAAAAATGTGCAAATATAAATAAACGAAAAAGAAAATCAATGAATAGAAATAAACAATAAAATAAAATATTAATGCAGTAATTAGAGAATAATACACTCAAATACGACTCCAAGAGTCAAGACTTTTTTACTTGACTGTACAAGGAAGGCGGTTAGAAGTGACCAGAAGATGAGGAAGAAGACGTAAGAAGATGCTGGATGACCTTGGGGACAGAAGAGGATATTCTTATTTCAAGGAGAAAGCTCTAGATCATATTAAGTGGAGGAACTGTTTTGGAAGAGACTGTGGACTTGTCGTCTGACAGATTACTGATGAATGAACAAGGAAGAATGCTCTTGAGATGTCTGCTCGCACTGAATGCAAACGAATGACTAATCACAACACCCCTCAACTTTCACGAATGCCCATCCACTGCACAGCTTTTCCTGGACTCACTTCTAAATACTAGAACTTTATGTTTTCATCTAGTATTTAAGTCTTATTGTAGTCACATTTTATTATGTTATTTTGACTTGTTCCAGTGATTGGTTGGAACATTTGTTTTGAGTTTTGACGCAATCTATATCCAGTGGTGTGACAACTTGTTTCTCACCCTCTAATTGGATCTACTTGAATATAAGAATAAATTATTATTATTATATAAGCTGGTGATTTTTTAAATTATTGTTACCTTATACATAGTTGCATGTTAAAAATTGAAGGTGCTGAATATTGCATATATTTATGTATTGTTGTTTTTACTGAAACATGAACTGTAAAATGTAGTTAATGACAGTTTAGTTAAACATAGGAAGCCTTAAGAAGAAATTTTTTGTCTTTTCTCTATGAACTTGGAATATATGCATGCATTGGCCTCTGTAGCAGGTGTTAACTATTCATGTAAATTGTTTTCTTTGGTTCTGAATTAACTCTAATTTGTTAAATAATAAAAGACCCAGGATTGTTTTGTGACAGTAATGTAGCCCTTGATGTAAATGCTCAATTTGTAAACTGAGACTGCTGCTTATTAGTAACATTGACCAGGGCATGGATGATTTATACTGGCATACCTTTATATAAAGGGCTGAATTTGAAATTTTCATTGTTGTGCTGGCCAAGAAAGCAGTCATAGTCCTGCATTTTTGCATACATATTTTCAGATGTTGCTGTAATTTCCAGGTAAATTTATTCAGCTACATGCACTCTTTCAGAAATAGACTGTTCTGTAAAGGGTTATTCTTTGCAGTGTTAGATACCTGCATCCTGCCTGTGTTACACAAAGACACTTTAGTTTCATGTCAGTGTTTTAGGTTTTCGTACTCCTGCCTATGTCAGACAAAGACAGTTTTTTTTGTTTTTTCGTTTCCCTGCCGAGTTACAGCAAAAGAATTTTTTTTGGGGGGGGGGGTTCCATACGCTTGCATGTGAACATAAACTGGAATGATATGCTTTATGTTTTGGGTGGTGGTGTCACATTAGACTAGAAACCTTGAATATGGAAACCTGTTTCATTGCATTTTAGGCATAGAACACTGGATTCTGTATCTGTGAGCAAGTATTCCCAGACCTCGTTAAAAACTCTGCACATAGTCATGCTCTCTTGCACTGACCTTACAAGAATAAACTCACATTATTAATAAGGGGTAAATGTATCATATTCAATAGGTACTTTCCCATGGAAGACTTGTAATTCAGCTAAAATTATATTTCACGAAAGATTGAAATCATATATTCTTTTCCC